GATCATATATGTATACACATTTATATCAAACATATTTATTTATTAGATTGCATTATTATTATTACAATATATTTAAAAGATTTCAAGATAGCAAAAGAAAAAGTACTAAAAAAAAAATATTGTTAACTTGATCAAATCGTTCAACTAAATATTCTTTTACTAACTGAACATATAGAAATATTAAAATTAAATTTAACCTATTAAACCTAACAAAATATGTATTTGACTTAAATACTGATATAAATTAACAACATAATAATTTAATTGAACAGTTTAATCAAATTAATCATTCTTTTTCAGTGAAAAGCTTATGAAAGAGAGAGGTAGAAAGTGTCTCTCTTTATTTTTCTTTCGCCCTTTCTCTTTCTCGGATCGTTTTAAACGTCTTTATGAGTCTCGGCTGTTAACACGGCCGTCAGAGCAGGTACGGTCCTTTTTCGGTGCCTGATTTCCCGGTATCTGCGGGATCTCACAAGTGACTAGCGTTTATCTATGGAAGACTGATGAAGCTATGATGGAGGGATTCGAGAGAGAGAAGCACCGGCACTCTCGAAAGATTTGTGCGTTTGAACTCGCCTCGACGGCGCGAGAAGTCATTCCGGAGATAATCGCGAGATTGGGCCTTTTGACAGATACGCTTGGACCGTTTTATGAATGAACCAAAGTTTGGCTTCGAATTCCGAAAGAGCCAACTTTCTTTTTTTTCTCATTCCGATTATTGTTATTATTATTATATTCGAAGCTGCTAATGATTTCTACAGTTCCAAGCAAATCCTGAATTGTACGAGTAAAATCGAAATATGCTTGAAAAAAAAAAAACTCGATCGGAAAAATCTATTCTTTTTATCGGTTAAATCTTTATTATTTCAAAATTGCAAAGTGATACCGTGCAATAACGAAGCTAAATAATTAAGCTCTCGCATTGTGCAATTATTGATAGAAATAATTAAACGATATCGATATAAAATGAATAATTCAATGCGTTAAAATATATATATATATATAAATGAATAATTAAATTTACATTACTAACCTTACAATAATTATGACAAATAATTAAATGCCGTTAATAGCTGTAACTATATAGAAATAAAAGAGGCGAATGATTCATTATTTCATCAGATTAAATAAAAAGCTAGTAATAAAAGAAACAATTAGAAATATATGTTGATTAAACATATTTTTATGATAGTGGAATAAATAATTATAATCATTAAAAATAATTAAAAATAAATAAGTAAATTAAAAAAAATTAAATTAATTAAATGAATAAAAAAATAAATAAATAAATTATTGAAAATACTATAGTGTTCAACGATTACCTCGCAACGTAATATTTGCACCCTTACAGAATCATTTCCGAATTTGAAAGGGGAGAGGGCGAAGGACGAGACTGACAGGCAGCGATGGTTAAAGGAGGGTTTAAGGGAGTTCCAGGACAATGCGAATCTGTAATTATAAGCGCGCCGGTCTTGTGCTTTCGCTCCTCTTTTTTTACGTAAAATCTCTTGCAGCCTCGTATTATCGCCTTAAATCAACAAAGCCGCTCTTCTGGCTCGAAGATGGTTCGGCGAGGGTATACAGGAACGAGGAGAGAAAGAGGAAGAGATGGGAAGGTTATAAGGCTGGGAGGGAGGAAAGGGCGACCTGTGCAGCTACACGAACACAGGGCATACGAGAGGGACTTTAATAACAGGTCTCGCTTAATAACCCACGTCCCGCGCAGCCCCAAACTGAATGTCATTGCAGTAGATTCGATCATGTGACTCGGCACTTAATCGGCCAGAAGGCGTGTAATGATCGACTCTCTCCCGCGAGATAGCATGTAGAACCGGAAGATTCACCGGCGAACTATCGAATTTGTGTGATTTTTTTATTCAATTTTTGGAAAAAATGAGAGCATGTTTCCAGATTTAAATTGTACACTGAAAACAAATTTATGGAATTCGAATTAATTAGTATTTATTTCAATACTGGGTATATCCCGTACAGCACAAAATATTATGAATGTTTTCAGAAAATATTTCTAAATATTTCTATAAAATATGTCATAAAAACATTTTAAAATAGTTTTAGGAATATTTTAAAATGATTTTTGTGGTAATATTTTTTAGAATATTTTAAATAACTTTTAAAATATTTTTAAAAATGTTCTTTATCGCTCAGATAATATTTTCTTAAATATTTGATACATATTTTTGAAATATTAATTTAATTCTATATTCAAAAATATTTCTGAAAATGTTTTTGAAACCTGAAAAGCGGACATAGAAATATTTTTTAAATATTTTCGAGAATTATTTTATCTTATAAGAAATATTTTTAAAAGATTTTAAAAATATTTGGTGCTGTATGGGATATCAAATAAATCATTTATTTGAAACTACTAATATTGATGTGAAAAATATTTATTTAATATAAGAAAATCATTTTCACAAAACAAATTTGTTTCAAATAAATAATTTATTAGGTAATTGAAATAAATATTGATTCATTTAATTTTTTTCAGTGTACGATTAAGGATCTGCTTTTGGGTTAGAATTAGCAGCTTTAAATAATTGGAATTTTAAATAATATTTATCGCTATATTTGTTGTGATCAAGTAAAATTTTTAATTAAATTTTTGTAAGAAGTTAAAGCACGTTCGAGATTTAAATTGTACGATTCAGGATTTGCTTTTGAATCAGAATTGAAAGCTTCAAATAAATGGAATTTTAAATAATATTTCTCGCTAAATTATGTGACCAAGTAAAATTTTTAATTAAATTTTTGTAAGAAGTTAAAGCACGTTCGAGATTTAAATTGTACGATTCAGGATCTGCTTTTGAATCAAAATTGGAAGCTTCAAATAATTGGAATTTTAAATAATATTTATCGAGTTTTTAATCAAGATAATAATGTTATTTACTTACGCAGACATTTAAAATTTTATTAAATTACGAATATATTATGTTCTACCATACCTGATTTCGATGTACATAACATTTCATAACAAAATGAGAAACTTGCAGAAGCAATTTTTACTTTTTTCACTCATTAGTGTGCAACCGATTTAATTACAGTTATATTTTTTAAATATCAATTCGAAAACTTCAAATTTTTATATAAAAAAGGATAATACTGAAGGATTCGAGAGCTCCGTCCTCTTCGAATTTGACAAAATTTTACAATATTATCATTCTTAAGTAGAAAAAAAGTTACATGGAATTCGACAGAAAAAAGCTGGATTTTAATTTACAGATTCGTGTTTTGCGCATAAAATACACAATATTGTAAAGTTTCAGCAAAAAGAAAATTTTCACAAAATGATTACCCAAAGTGTAAATAAAATTGATAAGACTCACCAATGCGCAGCATCGTAAACTTACTTGTAAGTTGTAAACTGTAAAAAAATACATAAAAATTATAATAAATAAATATATACGAAAAAAATTTTTAAATTAATAAATATTTATTTCAATATTGCCTAATAAATCATTAATTTAAAATAGATAAAAATTTCACATCAAATTAATACTATATTAATTTCAAATAAATGATTCAGTAGTAGACAGTATTGAAATAAATATTTATTCGAATGCAATACATTTTTTCAGTGTAAATTAAATATAAAATAATTAATATATTTAAAATAGTTAATAAAATAATTAATATTTTGAAAAATAAAATTATTGTTTACGTTGAATTTTAATAGTAAAAATAGAGTAATAATAAATAATAAATAAATTACCATATAGTTGTGTCGTTGTCCGATGTCATTCCGGGCCTTCTCCTCGTAGAAGAAAACACTTGCACTCGCGTTACATTTTTTCGTTCGCAACGCCCAGATTTTAGCTGTCACATTTTCGCGTCACCGCATTTTTCAAGGCCTACTTATCGGAAGGCATAGAACGACTACCTCGCGACGCACCAGGAGTCGCCGATATTCCCGAATATTATATATATTTCACTAAGTCAGCGTACAATATTTTGATATAAAATGATAATAACAGTATGGCAGGTAGTCGACCTGCGATTTTCACGCAAATATATAACGAGCCTAATTCGTCGCGTGTCAACACTCCGATACAATGATACGGAAGTACGACCGGAAACGCGCAATCGTTCACTTGGAATATGATCGACGTGGCCGTAAAACTCGGGAAATTCGCGTCGAAAGCGCCCGGTAATTCTCGCGATCCTCCCTCGCGCGCGCGAAATTTGGCGACTTGAAGTTGCTGCTGTGACGTCATGCGTCACGTGACAGCGCGCTTTCGGGAAGGAGCGTCGAGCGAAATTCGCGGCCGACAAATCAATCCAAATCAATCCCGCGCGTACGATCGCGATCACGATGTCGGTACACGCGACACGATCAAAGTTATGCGATAATTAAAGACACTATTTAATATACTTACGCGTATCATATAATTAATATATTCGTATTTTTGTGGACCGGCGACGAACGTGCGAACGTAGATCGTGAACGATGCGAAAGTGCGCCAGAGGGCAGCAGCATTCAAGATTGGGTTCGGAAATATAAATAAGCGCTTTAATGGACCAATCAGGACGAAGGGATCCTCGGACTCCGATTGGTCCGTCAAATTCTGAATTTTGATAAAATATATGGCGCCATTTACGAATCGCTTATTGAGTTTATTCACATTAATTGTAAGTAAATTACTTAATTTATTAATTTACGAATCGCTTATTAAATTCTATCCATAAACAAATTACCTTATTTATTAATTGGCGTTGCGTGATATTTGTACTGCATTTATATTAATAATTGACATATATATTTTATTTGATGAAACAATGAGAGCATTATTTTAATTATTACATCAAATATCTATTACGCTCATTTTCTAATCGTGTAATTATTAATTATTTTTTTTTGTTTGCACAAATTTTTTTATAACACACATTGTAGCAAAATCTATTCTTCCAAACTATAATTCTCTATTTTTTCTAAGCATACTTGCGAATAAAAAAAAAAGAGATAAAACATTTATTGCGAAATCGTGTCCATTTAATTGCTTGAATAATTATTTTAAACTATTTTGTTATAGTGTCTGCATCTAAATATGAATAGAATAAGCTCTCGATTAATTTGTCAAGCAAAATTTCGAAGAAATTTACATTACTGACGACCAGTAACATCACAACAGTGACATGTGTTGTCCTTAATCTAAATATATCCGTGCGTTTTACAGCTGATTCCTAGCAAGAAAGATATAAATTTCGCAAATGAATTAAAAGTCATCTCGACAGGTCAATCGAAAATCGTCAAAATGTTCACACGAGCGTCCGCTATAGTTTATCGACGAGCTCTTTTAAAAACAAACATAATATCACAGGTAAAATATTTTGCGGCTTTTCCAATTATTTAGGTTAGGTTATCATCTGTGGAATTTAGAAATATAAAAATATAAACCAGCATTAATTGCAGAAATTTGGAAAAAAACACATGTTATTTATTAATACATTCAGAAAATTATATTTCCAATATTCCATATAATAATTCGCTAAATATTGTTTATGAAAAAATGTTTTTTTCATTCATTTAGGAAGTGATTATGTGTAGACGTATTCATCTAGACTCTCAAATAAAAAGAACTCCCAGAAGCAATGCCTTGCTTAATCTACAGAAAAACTGCAGGATTACAGGAATCCCTTTGGTTCGTTACGCCAGTACCAATGAAACACCAACAAAAAGTCCATATGATGAAATTCCAGGTATATTTATAAAAAAATTACACAGTTACTATTTCTTCAATTCTTTAAAAATGTTTTATCGTAACAAATATTAAAACTATTTAGTTATCTCAAACATTTAACATCAGCAACTGAATTTTCTTGTGAATGCTTTCTTTTATTTTTAATCGAGCTTAAAATTAGTATAATTCTGTATGAGAAAATTAAAAAGTTATATAAAAGCCTTTCCACTTATTATTTACTAATCTATGACTTATATATTTAGATCCACCAACACCAATAGAGGATATAGTGGAAAATATTGTGAAAGTGCATGCAAATGGTGAGCCAACTCTGGAAAGCATAGGACTGGGTAATTTTACTCCAGTCGGATTTGTACAGAAATTTCTGGAATATATGCACATAGGTTTTGATATTCCATGGTGGGGAACAATTGTCATAGGTATTTTTTTTTTATCTTTATTATGAAATATAAATTTAAATAAGATTTAATTATAAATAAAATATATAACATTATCAGTAATACAATTTTAATTATTTTCAGGCACTGTTTGTATAAGGATTCTTATATTTCCTCTGGTGATAAAGGCACAGAAGAATGCGATCAAATTCAGTAATCACATGCCAGTGATAACTCAAATGCAGATGAAAATGACAGAAGCCAGACAATGTGGCGATCATATTGAAAGTATGCTCGAAAAGTTTTGTAAAGGAATTTTCTTAGTTTTGTTGCCCAAAATCCAATAATTATAAACTCACAATAGAAATTATTAGAAAAAATAATATTTCTTTTTCTTGTAAAATTGTAAAAATAATATTTCTTTTCTTTCAGGTGCACGGGCTGCACATGAGTTAGTGCAATATATGAAAAAGACCAACGTCAGTGTGCTGAGAAATTTCATGGTACCATTAATCCAGGTGTGTATACAATATTTCTGTATTGTGTAATAAAAGAGTGAAAAGATAAGATAGAAAATAATTTGTTGACTGATATAAAATTTTTCAGGCACCAATATTCCTCTCTGTCTTCCTAGCCTTGAGGGGAATGGCAAATGCACCTGTAGAAAGCCTGAAACACGGTGGCTTTTGGTGGATGCAAGATCTCACTCTACATGATCCTTATTACGTAATGCCGATAGTTACTTGCGTAACATTGTTTGTCACAATTGAGCTAGGTGTGGATGGCACTGATATCAAGACTATGGGTATGTTTCGATATATCCTACGAGCTGTGCCCTTCGTCATATTGCCGTTCATGATAAATTTCCCTGGTGTAAGTATAATGTTATATTAGGGTATATTTTTATAAAGATTAATCCAAAAGCATTTATGCATCACTAAATATGTGTATAACTAATAAAAATATATATGTATCTGTATGACTTCAAATCACTCCTCAACATAAATGTATTTTTATACATGTTTTTGCAGGCTATTTTAACATATTGGGTATCGACAAATTTCATTTCTCTAGCACAAACTGGTTTGTTAAAAATACCATCTGTAAGAAAAGCTCTCGATATGCCTGTTAGAATAAAACACGCTACCCAACCGAAGAGTAACAGAAAGTTCGTTGAAGATTTCAAGGAATGTAAGTATTACGTTGTATGATATTATATCGCACGTTAGAGAATATGACTAATAAATAATTGTAATTAATATTCGCGTACATACGTAAATAAATTACAGATAGTATAAAGAAAATATTATATATGTATTTTTTACAAAAGTACGTGCCATAAACATTATTTTGATTTTAGCTTGGACTAATATGAAAATATCTAAACAATTAGCTGCTAGGGAAAAAGCAGATGCAATACAGTTTAGTGCAGCTGGTAAAGGAGCCATAGTTAAAACATTTAAATATGATCCAACAAAACAAAAAGGACAGTCGACTATCCTCACGAAAAATAGATAATTACAATTATAATTAATGTGTATTTGATTACACAATACACAACATAATAAATCAATCAATAATTGTAGTTATAATAAAGAGAATCGTATTTAATATAAAAACACTACTTTTAATAATATATATAATACACTACTTTCAATTGTTGGAGTATTTTTACAATATTTTTTTAAATGATAAAACAATATGTTTGTGTAAGTATGTATGTATATATGCACACGCACGTGTTACGTAAAGTAATATAAAAATAATATAGAATATAAATAAAAAAATTTGCAGCTAAGTAAATTAAATACAAAATACTATTTAGAGAAACTTAAGAAACAGAATACAAAAAAGCTTGTTTTAATTTTCATAGAAGTTTATTTTTTCTTTAAAAATTATTCGAGATCTTATATTGTAAATAATGTATTAACTATATAAGGAAGGATTTGTGGAAGTTCTATTTTCATGTGTTTGTCACTATATATATATATATATATATATATATATATTCATATAATTATATCTATATATATATATATATATATATATATATATATATATATATATATATATATATATATATAAAAGTATATATGTGTATACTTTTATTGAAACGAGTGCTCCTCTTCTGGACTAAGTGACCCTTCAACATTCTGTTGTGTTACGAAGACATTTTGCGTCGTTGCCGTGAGATTCGCTTGCTAAAAATATGAAAATTTTTAGAACATTTATAATATACTGAAAATGTATAATACTGATGGATAAATGAATAGATCATACTTGCGTCACTGATGTATTAGTATGATTACTGGCAGCCATGCACACTACAACTACTTTTGTAGTGGAAGTTGGTACGTGTGCCTTTTGTTGGCCAACATTGGTCTGTGCCAATTTAACTTGCTGAGGTGATGGTTGTTGTTGTTGTTGTGGTGGTTGTTGCTGTTGCTGCTGTTGTCCTTGCGATTGTTGCTGTTGAATCGCACTGGTATTCATATTAGAGGCAGTAGGTGTTTGCGAGCGCGACTGCAAGATGACGAATTTTTGTCCAGGAGCGGGAGTTCCGCTAGCATTCCTGCTTGTACCAAGCATAATTGCGCGACCGGGTTGCTGTCCAGGACTCGAACTAGTCACTATAGTATAACATCATGATAATTATTCGTAATATGCGTATTACTATCAACGACACTTTGCTCACCTGTTTGCACAAGTGTTTTTCCCGTACAATTGGAATGTACCTGTTGATTCGTTGTAAGTGCTGTAGTGGTAGTTGTGGTTGTGGTTGCTAGAGCAATAGGTTGTGTGCGAGCTTTTGCAACTGCAGCACACAATGCAGGACCTATATATCCATAATCCTGTTTGTAACTGTCCACATAATCAGGCGGGGACCGTATTGTTTTCAAAACTGGAGCAACTGATTTCTAAAATTTTTTTTCATCAATAAATGATTTTGCAATATATTAAATCTTAATATATTTATATTATATATACATATAATGTTTATATTATGTGTATTATATATATAATATATAATATAATGTAGAATATATTAAATCTTAATATATTCTACATTGCTACAAAGAAGAGTTTAAAATCAATTTTACCACAAGCAGAGTTTTGATATGTCCTGCTCCATTTTTATCCAGTCCTTGGCCCTCAATGCATGATTCGATACGATCGGAAATAGATTTAATTTTAGGAATAACCAAAGCTTTAATCACTTCTGGACCTAATTCACAGAGTCCTTCAATTGCTCCATAAAGAGACGCTAATGGTGTCTGCAAAAAAAATCACTTTCTTTAATTTCATAAAATAGATTAAATAATTTTTTCCTATATTGAGTGACTATTACCTGACTGTTCTTTGCCAATGCTTGACTAAACATACGGGTAACCCTAGTTTGTACATTATTTGTAGAAGTGTTAAAATTTTTACATATCTGTGCCATCAAACGGGAAGCAAAATCTCGTAATGCCCAATGATTATCTACTTCTGGTCTCATGCATAATTGTCGAGAAACTATGCAAGTTGCAACCGACGGTATTAATTCATGAAGCTAAGAATTACAATATTGTTTCAATATATTATACGAAATAAAAAAAATATTAAATAAGTTTTAAAAAATAGCTAAGTCTCTTACATATTTCTCCAGATAAAGACTCGGGTTGTCAAGCAAAGCCTTGACCATTCGCATAAGATAGATGAGTAGTGCAAGATGATTCTGTACCACATTGACCCGTACGCCTTCCGCAATGAAGGTACACATACGTGCTAACATTTCGTGCAGACCTGGATCTGCTGAAAGTGACTGAAGAGCCTCTGCTCTGCGAGCTTCATCAGATCCAACGCATGCTTCGGTTATTTCTTTGTAATACAATTGCTGTTCCACACTGAGCTCGTGAGTTGCAAGCTGTTTCACGTGAATAGTCTCCACATTCCTTAGCTTCTGACTTTTACCACCACCACCCGGTTTGCCGATACCAATGTTTTGATTTTTGCTAGACAGCTTAGTCGTTGGATCGACACTCTCCAATTTCTGGACATCTATTAAAATTAACATCATGATATAAATGACAATTTGGAATATTATACATTTTGTATTATTTTTTGAAATTCTTTTTGAAACTTTTCTTCAATAATTATATATAAAAAGGAATAATTCTTTTTTATATATATATTGTATATTTTATATTATATATATGTATATATATATATATAATTCTTTTTTCATAATCATATTTTATGTGAAAAATCAGAACCTTTTGATACTGGAGGTGGATTTTCTGGTATAGTAGGTTGTACCCCATCGATACATAGCCAATGAGCACGCAATGTAATTTCCAAAGGTAACTTGGGCCATGTTTGTCCACCAGCCATAGATACAACCTCGTTAAGATCAATCTCCTTTTCCTCCACAAAATGCAATTCTCTGCCACCACCCGATGCAAAACGAAATGGTATGTGATCCTTGGCAAAAAATCCATATGTTGGCTCAATGTTTTTAATCTTCAACGCATGATCTATATCATGCGTAGTCATTCGCTGACGTTTCCCATGCCTCATGAATTTTGTAGCATCCTATAATTAAAATTATTTATTATTAAGTTTTGTATTCTATTTTGTATACATATATTAGTGTAAAATTTGCAAAAGATAAAAATTGATATTATATTGAAAATATAAATTCTGATGAATATAAAATTGTATTTTTAGTAGATTCAATTATATGAAACTGACTTGAATAATTTCTTTCAGCCTGTAGCTAACATCCTCTGCAAGATCCTTTGCAGCCTCATCTGGGAAGTTGCCAACACCAATGCTCTCTGCTATTACTTTGATGGATTCTTGAGACAAAGTTGTCCCATAAATGGATTCGCTTTCACTCATCTTGGAAACTATTTCAGGTATCACATTCCATATACAGATACAATAGTTTTATCTTATAACTGAGTGCTTCTTATTTTCACAGTTTCCTGCAAATACAGTAATGTTATGTTACACTGTTCTAACAATATTTAAAGCTTAAAAGAAACTTGATACAATGATCATATAAGTACAAGTGACACACTTTTCCTCGTCTGCTTGCACAAATAAAGACATTCACTTTTTATATGTTTGATAAATGAACGTCATAAATTATCTAATTTTGTGATATTATTTCAGAAGAATATGAATTCTACAAAACTGTATTCACAAATTTCAGATTAATACCACAAATGTTTAGACCCTAAAAAGGATATAAACAAAATGATCCCAATGATGCAGAAAAATCACTCTACATTATTTCTATCTTCATTATATCTACATTATATCCACATTATATCTACATTATTTGTACCAAAGCGCAGCAAGTTCCTGAGGCTGAGATTACAAGAATAGCGTTATTTTTACCTTGTTCTGGCATAATACACCTCTTCAGGATTATCACAGGGTTAGATCGAACTGCCTCTATGCACGCCGATGCATACTGATGACGTTGAGGCCGCTAGTTGGTCGATGAAGTCTGGGGAATTTCCCCTGTGGTCACATAATATATACAGTTCGGTATCGCGTGCAAATTTTTACTCAGACCAATCAGAATCGAAGGAGCGAAAATTCCTTCGTTCTGATTGGTCGCCCAATTCCGACGTAGCCCCTCGCATGATGTAATATGTAAGAATTTTTTTTACAATTAAATTATTTTTTTTTATATAAAATTGCTTTTTATAATTAAATTATTTCTTATAATTAAATTATTTTATTTAATTTAATCAATGAAATTTTTAGTACATCGTGGCCTCTCGAATCTCGAATGCAATCCAGAAAATAATCGACAACTTCCGCATTGTTCCGAATTGCACGATTGATTTTCCAGGAATCTGTTCCTATTGGTCGTCGTCAATTTTTGAATCTACGCGAAGGAAAGAAACGTGATCGTTAGAAGAGTAAAACAAAATATTTTCATCACGTGATTGTGTCATCATCGGAATCATTTGCTGCACTGTAATATGCAATTGCAGAATTCGAAGGTAAATTTTAACAGAGTTCTCTCTGTCATTTGAATCGAGAGAATTGGGTGCCTCTCGTACTAGAAAGTTTTGCATGTCGTTATTTTTTATTCCGAAAATAAAATTTTGTCTAATATCATGTATGTTAGAAGAAGAACGAACGAGGTGATGAAGAGGAAGTTGAGAAAGAGGCGAGACCGAAATGTAGCCCATTCTATTCGGCTCTTTCCGAAGCTAAAGATGTGGAATCGACGATATTATTGTTGCAATCTGAGGAAGAAGCCACTTTATTAGCAGCTGTGGAGGCTTTGTCAAAGTATGCCAGTAAATCGAAGGATAATGTAAGGATACTTTTCGATCTCGGCGTCGTGAATAATGTTCTTCCTATTATTAAGCACAAAGATTTATTTATTCGAAGGTTTGTGCTGTATGTTTTATGTGTGTATAGGATACAGAAGATAATTTTTTTCACTATTTATAGCATAATTATATGTATTTTGTAGATTTGCTGCAAAATTATTGGTAGAAATGACAGCAATTCCAGATTTGACAATTTTTTTCATTGAGTCTAATTATTTATTGTACTTTGTGAAGCTATTAATAAGTGAAAAAGATATCTTTATGCAAGAATATTTTTCTGCGATACTTGCAAGACTGTCCAGAAATCCATATGTTGCTGCTCTTCTGGCAAATCATTGTTTAAACATGAACTTTCTTTTCGATGAGATGCAATCATCAGACCCAGATATAAAGAAGAATAATTTAGAGATTCTGTATAATTTAATGCAGGATCTTGTAGCTGCATATAAAATTTCAAAAACTGAGGTTTGTTACAATTATAGTGCAAAGACTTGAGACTTATTTAATTTACATTTTTGGTTTTTTATTGTCATTAGAAATTTAATTTCTCTTTGTTGTATCAACACTATGAATCATCGTATCCAGAGATTCAATGTCTTGCACTAAATGTAGTTGCTAGTATAATTGAGAGAAGTAAAGATGAAGATATACAATTTTTATTTTATGAAACAAATGGAGTTGAAGCGTTATTAAATTTTCTGAAAGTAAGAAATTCTTGCTTCTGTGATTAATTTGTACTGCAATACGCTACATTAATATTTTTTTAAAATTATTTAAGTAATATAATATTTTATAATTATAATGTTGTTTATATTATACAGAACAGTGAATGGAATAATTTACATATTAAAGCACTGAAAATATTATATTTTGCTGCTGAAAATCCAGTTATTGTGGATAAACTTATCGAAATTGAAAGTATTCCAGAAATATTAAATTATATAGAACATGTAACAACTCAGAATCTTTTTATAGAAGCATTTAAAGTTATTGTACAGATTGCAAACACTTTGAATGGAAGAAAAGTATTTTATATAATATTTCAAGATATGTGAAAGAAGAACAATATTTAACTTCTTTATACATATGATTTATATATCTGTTTGTAATAGGTTTTATTTTCATATGAGATTGTTGAACATTTAATAGACGCATTACAACGATGGACGCAATCTGATATTATTGAAATTGTTTGTTATGGAATTGGAAAAATGGCACTTTTTAGTCCTGCTACAAAGGAATTTGCAAGCAAGGAATCTGTTAAAATTATTTTAGGTTCATTAACATAATTAAAGATTTTTTTTACATAAAATAGAAGACTAAGAATAAAATTGTTTCAGATTTATTGAAAAAAGAGAATTTACAGTGGTCTGCAAAACATGCTGCAATTTTTGCGCTCAAACAATTGTTGATAAGTGACATTAGAAATTGCGATATCTTTTTAGAAATTCATGGACAAGTAATTGTAATATAAATTAATTTGTGTCATGTATTATTATTCACATTAATTGGAAAATAGAACAACAAATTTCTCTGATTATATAAATGATAATAATCTTAATTTTTAAGGATTATCTATTGCAATTGATAAAACAATTTGTAAAACAAGTTCCTGTAGAAACTTGTATTATTTCTCTTGAAGCTTTGCTTGCCATAACATATCGTCCAAAGCTTAGAGATATCTTGATTAATCTTGACATTTTTGACACAATTTGCTTACTTTTAGAGGTATAAAATAACAAGTACGCATTCTATTTTCTGATATCAATATACAGAATTTGATAAAAAATATTTATCTTTTAGTCAGTTTACCCATTTCTTGACGAATTAAAAATCTCTTGTTGCAATCTACTTTCTATGCTATGCTTAGAAAATAGTGGACGACATTATTTCATAAAAGCAAATGGACCTCAAAGAATGTATCCTCTCATTACTGATACACATTCAATCTCAGTAAGAAACTCTGCGATACAGTTCATACAAACAATTTCGACAGATTTAACTGTAGCAAATGCGTTTGTAGAAAACAAGTACCTTTCATAGTAAGTTTGAGTTGCTTTCTCTTGTAATTTTATGACAATTTGTTAGGGAACTTTATGTGATTATTTATTAGGAAAAAGAAAAAGGTCTTTTATTTATAAGGAACAATATTGAACTTTGAAATATATTCATTAAAACTATTATAAAATTGTAAAATTTTTATAATAGTAATATCATAATTATTTTACAGCATGTTAAGTAATTCCTCATCGAGAATAATTCCTTCGTGGGATACTTGCATAGAGACGCTCTTTAAATCGCATTTGCCAATCAAATTTGCTCTTACAGGACGTCTATCTCTACAAGATCTTACTCAGAATGGATTTTATGTTTTACGAAGGAACATATGTCCGTATGTATAAATTTGTATTATTACAAGAAAACTTATTGTATAGTTTGTCAAATTATGTGATTTAATGTCACACTATTTTTTTCAGATTTCCAATATTGGATGATATCTTTCGATTTAAATATTGTCCATTGGAGCCTATTTATGTAGTGAATTGCATACAATCATCAACTCTACCGAATGCTTTAGAGGCAGTTTTCGAAGGTAATAAGATGTTACATAATACAGAATTAAATGATTCATGATTCCAACAATGGAACATGTATATTAAATAACGTGTCATAGGAATTTCCGATATTTTAGAAAGAGATATCGCTTTAAAAGGAATTTATTTATTTATAGAAAATATAAATACATTGCTCGAATCAAAATTCGGACGATTACAATGCGATCCATATTTTACTGAATATGTGGAACTCTTTAAACGTATGATTTTAGCAAAGGAATCAAAAAGAGATGTGTTAGTGAATTTTTTAAAAATTGATTTCAAATTTTATATGTACATATAATACATATATGTAATATTTAGTAATTACACATGATAATGAATTCTCTTATATATGATACAGAGATGCGTCAGATATAGATCAAAAATTGACGAATATCCGGTACGTTCTATTGCGTGCAAAAATGTTAGCTCGGTTTGTGGCGCGTCAAATGTCCGGTTTTGATTCGACAAGTAGATGCATCGATCACCAGCTTGAGGTTCACTTGAGGGAGATCAAAGAATGCTTAGAAACGAGCGTTATCCCGATCGGGCAACTTCGCGTAGGCTCTTATCTCGAACGAGCTTTGCTCTTCAAGGCGATAGCGGATAGAATATGCCTTCCAGCGGCTCTCGTACGCGGAAAATATGGTATATCGTGGATCGAAATAGCAATACCCCAAGTAATACTTGTCACTTGTATTAAAAATATGTATTTTTATTAAATTTCTTTATTATGATTCATTAAATGTTTTGTGCAGATAGAAGATTCGAATGAAAGAAAATCATTTAGAGCTTATTTAGACGAAAAGGATGCATGTCGTGAAGAAGTAGTTACATCTGTTTCTTTCAGATTGTTAGATAAATCAAATGCCTCCGCATATCATAACGAACATAAGATTGAAAAAATATCTTCTCAACAAAATTATCCAAGCAAACTTATAAAACCGAATTTTATCGTTGACTTGATGGATACACCGGGAGATTTGATACCGATCGGGAGCCTTCGTTCGAAATTATATTGCACTAAAAAGATTACTTATAATAAAATATGTTGAAAATTACATTATTATGAGAAGTCTCGTACTAATATTTTTATTAGTTTTATAATACATTTCTTTCTTTCTTAAATATATATGTATATATTATTATTTCTTTTACAAATATGTCTGAGTATGTATATACACACACATATTTTATAAATGAATTAAAATATTTGGAGATTCTTTATGTAAACAAAAGTAACGCGCAGCGCGTAATAATCAAGTCATAAAATATATAAAAAGATCCTATAGCAAAGAAATAATCTCTTTAAAACAAAATTAATATGATATTTATACAAAAGTAGAAAGACTGTATCATATTAGATACAAATCGCTTACTTACAACTTCCCTTCAAGGGTGAGAAATCGATGGGCTACAAATTATCATTTTTTTTTAACATTGCCGGTGGTAATTAAAGCATTTTATTATTGATGCATCAATTGTTGCGATTGATGCTTCGGTTTTGCTGCTGCTGCCTCAGTTCACCAAGTTTCACCAAACCGAAGAAACTTTTATCGTGTTGAAACAGAGTATACCTTGCCGAACCAATATCTTTTAGGACTAGGTGATCACCTTCATGCAAAATGGTCATTTGAGCTGAGAAACAAGAGCGGCTCTTGTGTCCCCTGCCTGGGCTATACACCTGAAAATTCGTTATTTTATACTACACATATATTGCATTATATATTATACATCTTTATTTTTTGTTACATTTCTCTAATTTTATATAAATTTATATATAATACTTTATATATATATAATATTATATAATAATATAATATTATATATAATATTATAATTATAATATTATAATTAATATTATGTATAATATTATATAATAATATAATATTATACATAAATTTATATATAACTTTTTATATTCAAGCTGATCGAATTTCATTACTTGAAAAATTTCAGAGGTATATCATCAATTATTTATTAATATTTCTTTTATGGAATATCATAATCGTTTATTCCTAAAATTCTCACCATGCATTGTAGAATAGATCTGCCGTTCACCAGGAGGCGGAAACCGTTCTCGTCGTGCTCGTCTAGATAGTGAATCTGCGCGTACGCCAGATACAATCCCGGCTCGTGGACAGTGATTTTACCGTCGTTGGCGAGCGTGAAGTACCTGTTCATCTCAAGATTGGTCGCCCAATCGCTGGGTCGCCAGGCTTTGAAGACACCGTTGCTGTGTCGCGCTCTCCCGTTGCCGGTGTGCTCGTCTTCCGCCGTGAAGAGCGCGCTATCCGCACCGTAATGAATGGCGTAAACCTGCCGTGGTGCACGTAAATGTCTTCGTGTCAGTCTTCGGTGTAATTCCTTTGCGGTCGTTTTGAAATTCTAATTTGATCATAACGACTTTATGTTGTGACACTCAGTTGAAGCTTTGAAATTCGCGACACCTCGACGCCAATAACTGCGTTACCTACCTGAACAGATTTGTGAATTTCGACATCGCGATTCCGCCAATTGTCTCTTCCTTCCTCTTCGCCACTCGCAGTTTCCGAGCTCGTGTTAGGGCCCGAGTGGCTGTTAGGTCGAGTAATTGCCTCGTTTAATTGGTCGTGCAGAGGAAATGTCTCGAGACGCGCGTGGGTGTGATACTTCTTCGGAGAATGTCTGTCTCGGAAGATAATTGATTTAATTTGTCGGTTTTAAGGCTCCTGGCTCCTTGCCGACCACATTGAAATTATGACGTCAGAGACGAAGATCCAGGAATCTTAATATTACTTAATACGAAATTTAGCTTGTAATATCAAAATGAAAGAGTTAATTTAAACAAATTTTTATCTGTACGCATTAATTTCTAAGGTTTTCTCAATCGAATATTCGATAAACTTACGATATTGAACTTGTCTGTTGCAGAAGCGTGATTATTTCGGTATTGTTATTCATGTGGCTTTCGTCACTTGTGTAAGGACGCGTTTTGGACGCTCTTTGGATAGTTTTCTTAGTAGGATATCGTCCGGCACGATAATTCGACGTATCCATCAAGGAGTCATCGGTCAGAGTATGATCGCGCACAGATCTCTTTAATTTGACACCTTCTCTAATATATCCCGTCCTCGCATCACGTTTGTGCTCTGCGCTATTTTCATCATTAATCTTCTCTACATTTAACGGCGTTGTGTGTTCCTCTTCGTCATGATCTCGTTCGATATTTCTATGGATAATAAACATAATTTGATTCATAATAATTCATTCCGTTAAACTTTTAACTTGTTTTACTACGAAAGAGATATATTATAATCCCAGATAGCACAAGCTATTCGAAAAGAATTCATTTGTATGTCACCAGTATGTCGCCAATTTGGAGTCCCTTTCAGATACATATAGAATTCATTTTATAAAAATAAATTCTATTTTATAAAATGAATTCTACATGTATTTGAAAAGGGACTCAAAATTGGTGACATACAAATAAATTCTTTTCGAATAGCTTGTACTATCTGGGATGTTTCTTACTTGTAATTTTCTCGTTTGTTCTCGGTAATAGCCTTATGAGAATAATCAGGTTCCGTGGATGTAGGTAGCGACGTAGCAGTTTTCAGAAAGCCCGATGACCTGGAGTCATAAGTCAAAAGAGTACGGGAATTATCAGGATAGTCATGCGATGCAGAACCGTCGTCATCGTAATTAGAGTCATAATCGGCGTTATCAATGTCCGCCTCGCCTGGATCATTATCTTCGCTCGACTCTTCGTACAACTGCAATATGCATTTCGCAAATAAAGTAATACGCTTCTCATAGAATTACGCACATACAGTGAGACTTCTAAATGAATCATTTTGTATGTAAGGGACATTTTCCCGTTTAATATAATTATAGGATTTGTAATAAGCAATTGTGATATATATATTTTCTTTTGAACGATTGAAATAATTATTGCATCTAAAAGCAGCATCTATCAGTCTCACAATAAAAGTTCATCTAATGACTAAAATAGCTTTAATCGTAAAAACGTTCTTATACTTTTAACAGTTTAATTATGTATATTCTATTATCTGTTTAAGTTTGAAGTATCTAATCGAATTGAATTGATCAAATTTTTATCAATGTAATAAGTCAAATCGAACATTATATTATTAAATCTATATAATAATAATTGATAAAAAAACTATTGATTCTTATATTTATATCAAATTTTTACATCTTAATTTATTTATTAATAATTAATTAGTTTACGAAGTGTTACAGAAGTGTATCTCTAGAAACATATACTTAGCAAATTTCTTCGAGCAAATTGTTTTGTAAGAGGAAGATGTATTTCATAAAAAGTAATAGATAAGAATGGTTATGAAACTGATAGCACATTATGTGAATACATTTCTCATTTATTCACACATTTCTATTGAGAAACTAGCTATTGACTATAAGTTTTTCTCTGCCTGAGTAAAATATAGTTAATCGCCTCTTTTATTAGATTTACAGAAAATTAAAGGGAAAGTGGCCATTAAATTAAGTTTGGCATTTTCGAAATATTTACACTTTATTGAAATATGAAATATCTAATATATATTGAGGTAGTAAAGTTGCAAATACATATGTTATAGATATAGAAAACTCTATGTGAAGTTCAATGCCCTGCGCGCAGTTTAAATTTCCTCTCGTATCTCACAAATGATATGTATATCAGCGATTATATATATATATATCAGTTATAGCAAAACTCAAATTACAAATAGAAGAGAAATATAATTTGCTTTTTATGTTTGAAAAAATTCAGAACTCGAGGACTTAAATTCGTCATATTTGTTACAGATATACTTACTTCTTTGAGGGTTTTTATTTCATTGATGAGATCTAACTTGAGAAACCGCTTCAAGCTGTCGACGTCTCTTCTCAGCTGTTCGATTTCGCGCGCGTTCGAGTTCAGCTTCCAGCTTACGAGACCCAGGCAAAGAATGGAAATCATGAGGGCGGACATGCTCAGGATCATCTTCCTGCTCGGTCTCTGTCGCGATCTGTTGAATCCTTGTTCCAGATCGGAATGCGACACGCTCAGGTTTTCCCGCGAGAAATTCAGAAAGGACCGCGTGTCCTCCTTCACAACGTGGCCGTTGCTCATCAGCCTCTGCTTCATCTTCGCCGCCTTATTGCTATTTTCCTCCGTCAACATCGATGTCATCGCGGCAGTCGGTCTATTTGGCAAGATTATCGCACTATCGTCTAACTTGGTAAATTCGACGCGAGGATTTACGTGTCCGAACGCGTCTTTGTATTTTGACAGAACGGTCGAGTGACGAGGGCACAGTTCATCCTGCGATTTGATTTTATGATACACGTCAGGAAATCATTTCCATGTAGCAACTACACGCATTATCGTGAATCTTTTGCTTTCCAATTAGCCGACACATCGTATCCTACATGAAATAGTCTCTGGTACGTCCTTTTACTAAACATTTCATATATTTAATATAATTTTGAATAATGATCTTTGTTTTCTATATTCGTTCAACTTTCTACCCTCAGAAAAAAATTCTACAACCCCAATTCAACTGAATACTAATCAAATTTCTATTGCAGAGTTGAATGATGTACGTCTCCTTTTACTAAACATATACATTTAATATAATTTCTCGAATAATGACTGTTTTCTATATTTGTCCAACTTTTTACGAAACCCTAGAAAAGATTTCTGTAGTTCTGATTCGACTAAATAATAATTTCTATTGCAGAATTGGATGAAATTGAACGAGAGGATCCTATTCTGGTTATTGATATGTCACGGACAAACATTTAATTGTCGTATAGTGCTAAATTAATTCAATTGAGGTATGCCTTTTTTCTTTTACTTTGTATTTGAATGACTACTTTTTCGTGAATTGGGAAAATGTTCGTTTCTTATCAGGATAGAAAAATTAATATTTCCGTTAAAAAAAAAAAAAAAAAACCGGAAGAGAAATTTACTGAAAAAAGCTCTTTCCGCACTCGCGCGGAACAGACACAATCCACCTGATTGTACAATTTCGAAGATTTACGATGTACAGAAACGTTAAATATCCGGTCCTGTCCCGCTTTAAAACCTGTTCGGCGAGTTTTTTTTCCCCTCTAAAGGCAGAGAACTACAAGAGGACCTCCTCTATCCTCTCCCTCTTTTATATCCAGCCCCGTCATTTTTCCGCGCTCTTTCTCGTCCTGCGGCAGAAACGAAGATACACAAAGAGAGAATAGACTATATTTTATATCGAAATAAAAAATAGAAGAGAATTAAAAGAAATATATTGAATCAGTTTAAAGGAGAGATTTTCAGATGTATGAAACTATCTGGTAAAGATAAAAAATATTAGTGACTTTTGGTGACAAATAGAAAATACATATTTTATATAAGTTTTATATTATGATAAGATTGCTTTATCCAATCTGATCCTTTATCTTTTCTAACGTATTCGTTTTTTAAATTAGTACAGTGAGACCTAGAGTGAGTCTAGAACTGTACACACCTATCAAAGAATAATCTTTTAATTTTGAAAGAGATAAATTTCGACTTTATTTAATTCTTGCTTTATATAATTCAGGATACGATTTTAAAAATTTTCGCAACGTCTGGGTTATAAATATTATTGTTTCATTAATTTAAATTAAATTTCAATCCGATATGTACTATTAACGATTCAGCACTTTTCATTCAACGAACGTAGTCTGCATCTCTAAGATGCACATTTTAAAATAAATTCTGATTATTATAGCGCGCATTATATTGTAAAAATCACGTAGATAGTGAATTTATTTTAATTCGCAAAACAGACGTACGTCTACAGCCTTCTTCTGATCTTTATCACTGATTATTAACATTTCCAGAGCATTCACACAAGACTTAGAAACGCGTGCAGTGACAATGCGCATCCGTCGCCTACGATGGGCTCAAGTATACTGAAGAGCAGAATGAAGCACGTCCGCGTTTATTATTGCGGCGCCTTCGGCTCTTTCATGTCAAACGTTGCGATGTTATACTGTACTATCGCGCTGTTAAATTTAAATAAACTTTCTATTAAAGTTAGTTAAAAACTGATTTCAAAAGTATATATACAATAATTTTAGCGACACTTATAAAGAACGTTTATTGTGATCCAAAGACAATTGTTTTTCTCTAAAAATTAATGAAAATGAATACAATCTATCACCAGATTATAAATGTAAGAATATAAAGGATAGATTTTTAAAGAGATTAATAAACGATGGAAATGAAGAAAGAAAGAGCGTACAAATGAGTCAAGGTAACATATGATGAGAAAGATAATCGCAATAAGACGATCGCAATTCAGAACTTTACACTGACCACGTTTGCAAACCTCTAATTACGCTTATTCTGCTCCTCGAGTTGATAATGAAGAAAATATGCACAACCGTGAATATATAAATATATATATAATTTTACGATAATACATCCCGGTGATACATTTTTTCACATATCTGATAGTGAGATTATTTATTTATAATTTTAATCATAATTATTTGTTAATCTCTCCCTCTCTCTCAGATTTATTTATTTTTAATATTTCTACTAAACATCTTAATAAAATTAGACCATTCAGTCTAGATTTTTAGAATTTTAGATATAATTTGAAAGTATTTAGGAGACAAAGATGATGAAATAATAAAAATGATAAAAAAATTAATTTTATTATTTCGTCCCTTCAAAATATCTTTTGACTAATCGTTTGGCTAATTTATTTGAGAAATAGATATTCGTTATCTGCGATTTTTTGATCGTTAACCGGATCGTATTGTAGGAGCATATTGTAAATAAATATAGGCCACGGATTGTAAAACTCTTTCTCCCTTCCTCTTTCATCCGTTGTGACATCACGTAATCGACGATAAACTTCCACGATGAAAGATCCTTTCCTAGAATATACATGGCTGTTTGTCTCGCACCAAGTGTGTATTGTATTGAAAAATTAAACTTAATCATGAACTCATACACACATGCAGTTTGTGTTTAAAACTTAGCTATGGTTTAAACCGAGATAAGAATGTGAACTGATAAAGAGTAAAAGCCTTCCCGGAATTAATATAATTAATCTCCAAATGCATGATTTTTTTATAATCGTTAATTTTATTGTAAATATCTCATTCATACAATATTTGCGATTATGTGTCAGTCGCTATAATGAATATTTCTATTAATCATATTAATGATATTTGCAGATGTTACATTTGGTTAAATAATATTTGCATAATTGGATACATTTGATCAAACAATATTTCGGAGCAAAGATAATAATGTATAGTAATTGGGTGCATCGCGATCACGAAACATGTTTGAGCGATATCAAGTTGGAAATCCCATGACTAACAGTTCAGCAGTCATCTAATATAAACGTGCAGCAATAACAAAGATAATTACATCTAATTGTCGTTATCATCCGCTTTCCAGGTATGCCTCCTAAAAATAACGAACATTAAATTCTTTTTTTCTTTGTATAAAATACATTTATAAATATATTTATATATATAGAAATATATAATTATATAATTAAAATATATATAATAATATATACAATTATATATTATATATGTATTTTTTTATTTATTTATTATACACTGTTAGAATCCTTTTTGTTTAGATAGTTATATTCTCGTATATACTTTATAAAGAGAGAAAGCGAAAAGAGATGGGAGAGTGTAATTAAAAGGATTATCGAGAGTTCTCTCGTTTTTTAATCCCTTGTCCCTCATTTTACGTGCTCGATGACGCATGTGATATCCAATTACTCAGTTTTTTAATACGGGTTTAGGGCGTCGTATGATGACTAATTAGTATCTTTATTGCAGAATTTTTCCTAACATGGCATTAATGACCAAGACTTACGTGAGCGCTCGGGACTTTAAGTACAAGAACGTGATAAAATGTCTCTTTGCTGAAACTACGTTCTGGATCTTACTGTGCTGACAATGAGTAAAGATCTTACTATATTGAAGTGTATCTTTATCGGAAATATCATTATTTTATTCGGGGATCTATCTCTACATTCCTATGATGCATTTTACGTTCAGGTAGTTATGTAATATAGTATAGCATATTTAATTTAGCATATAAATAGAGGAGAGTATAGAACTTTGTTCAACTTTGAAATATCAGAAAGTTTCCATGGAATTTGATTTAAGAGTTCAGGAAATTTTTTTAAAAATTATCCTTTTATTAATTTTATTTTTATTTAATACTTAAGAAACGTATGTCTAACATATCTTGGCAATAATTGTTTATGTGAATACAATTTTATGTGATTTTTTTTATTGACAATCTATTTTAAGTATCAAGATCTTATATAAATTATAAATTTTATAGAAAATTGTTCAAATTTCCAATAGATAATATTTAAATAACTTAAGACTATTTAATAAATAAATAAATAATAAATTAATCAATTTAATCAATTAATCAGTAATTTTAATCAATTAATTTAAATAAATTATTTTTGTTTTTATTTTTATCAAGAAATTTTTTTACAAAATTTGAATAGACACTCTGATGACGCAACGAAAAAGTATTAATAATTTTTGCTTTCTATCAAAAGACAAACTTATACTCAAAAAATGTAGATATTAGATAGGATTAGATAATCTACGTTTCCTATCTATGTTCATATATTATTTTTAGATTCTTATATAGATATGCAGACATCTTCTATAATTCTAATTTTAATAATTTATTTAAATTCCAGAGTAATGTGTTCTCGAGGATGGTATTGTTGCAAGAACAAAAAGTAAATTGCAACCGTGTGTTTCTCTCTGCGGAATGCAAAAAAAAAGTACATATGGCCTTCGCATTTTTTCGTCACGTATTCCGGAACACATGGAAGTCGTCGACAGAGTCACAGAGATATCAGTTAGCGAGCATCGGTAACCGAGGCGAGATTTTCTCGTGGACTAAATCGTGGCGTTGTCGTCGGTCCACGGGCCGTATGGCCTGCGGACCGCAAGGGAGAAGTAAACAAAAGATTCGAGTGCGTCTCGCTCGGGCGAGTCAGTTTTGCTCGACTATACTTCGATCGACGATCTACATCCGTCCGACCGTGAGAAAGGCGGGAATCGTCATTTCGGAGGTGAGTGCGTACACGTGTCTCGTGCGTCTGCTTCAATCGCTCCTTCAATTGTTGAACAGTATTCAATTTTGCATTGAATTTACATTTGCTTTCTCTAACTCTTAAACGCACGAGGATATTTCCTTTGAAAGTTCGGGTCGCACTGGTCTTTTTTGTGAAAAAAGATTTTGCAATTTCCAATAAATTGATTACCTTCAAAGCCTTCTTAATTAAAAATTGTAAAAGTGTCTTTGATGAACTTTAGTTTATGAAAATAATAGAGAAAAAATATTAATATAATTAAATAAGTTATTTGTTGTAATAAGAGATATTAAAATAAGATTAAAATACAATAATTATTAATTAGTTTATATCCATGATGTTTATAATAATAATGTTTATAATAATATTAGTAATGTGTGTGATAAATGTGTGTGAAGCTGAGAATTTTTTAAAAAGTTATTGAAAAAAATAATTTTAATTAAGACTAATGTAAAATAATTTTAAAATTTAATTGCTGTACGAAACGCGAGCGCGTACATGAGAGACATATGTGACTATTTTTAATTTTCTACATATAAAGAAATATACTCGTATATTGCCAAATGTGGCGGGAAAAATGATACTACGTGAGCAATACAATATACGACTCGGGTTTAAGGGAGGCTAACGTAGATTTCCAATTAATTCTTCTGTGAAAATAGTTCTTTGTATATATCTGGACTACCTGTTTGTGGCTCAGGTATGGTTGTGTTTGTGAAAGATACAACCACATCTTTATACACCGTTTATCATGCACATCATCGACTCGGACAGTTTTGTACACCGAGAAGATAATTTGTGATAACAACGTCTTACAAGGAAATTTTCACAAATACTCCGTACTACTAGAGATTAAAGTCTACTATTACAGTGATTTATTTGAGTGAAAAAAAAGATGAATGAAATGTTGAACATATGTGTCTCTTATTTCAATAAACACAAAAAGATTGTGCATATTAATATTAAGTAAAGCGCCGAAGTTTCTTCCGGTCTTTTTCGCATCTTTCTTTTCAAAGTAAAACAACTTAAATTAGTATATTTTCTGCAGAAAAATTAAAATATAATAGGATTGTGCATATTAGGTATAGCGTCGAAGTTATTCCGGTCTTTTTCGTATCTCTCTTTTCAAAGTTACCAAAAGCCTGAAGTAATATATTTTCTGCAGAAAGGTTAAAATAAATTCTTGGGATATTTCAATTTGAAAAGGTCGAATTCTTAAAAGGAAACTATAAGTCGTTATAGATGATGTAGCATTTCTCGGAGATTTTCCTTTTTTTAGGTAAAGCAGTCTTGTTTGGAGATGCGGAATACATAATTTTTTGCGTATAATGACGAAAAGAATAATTTATATTTTTAATACAAATAAAATATTACAATTATATTGATTCCAAAATCCCAACTTTTCGGTAAGTTTTACCCAACAGGTAGCATATTTTTATCTTTTTAAATAAGTTCTAAAAAGGAGACGAATATATGTTACTTGTCGGGTAAATTTACCAAGAAGTTGGAAAAATCGGCTCTAAATAATATAACAATTTAAACATATATGTTCAATATTTTTATTATTTATTGAGTAATTAAATGTTCAAATTATAAAAGAATGTTCCATATAAAAAAATCACGTGATTATATTTTTGGCCGATATAGATATATATATATATTATGTTTTTATTTTTATCTTTTTATTAAAATATATTTACAGTATCGGCCAAAATTATATCACCTTTTGACTTTTTCAGTATAACTTGTTTTAAAGTGCACAGATCTCTACAAGAATCACAACATGTTTTGAAGGATACGTTATAACATTAAATTATAATTCAATGTTATACCACCCTTCAAAACGTGATTTGAAAGATATTCGTGCACTTTAAAACAAGTTCTGCTGAAATAATCCAAAGAAGATATAATTTTAGCTGGTACTGTATATTTATCATTTTTTAAATAAGTTTATTTATACACTATATATAAATTAGCTTATTGTAACTAATTGATTAGAATACTAATAATTGATATACTGACAATTGCACATACATGCCGTAAATATATTTCAGGCACGCCACGGTACATCTTTAAATAATCGATAACAAAGTTTCTTCTAATGATTAGAAGAAATTAGATGTTTAAAAGATGGCGATAAAACAATCTTTGTCAGAAGCAAATAATTGTAAATCAATAGAGGACACTGTCCTCACAAACATAAAGCAGCATATTAATGTCAAAGTGAAACCTTTAAAAACTCTCAAAAGGGATAATTTATTAATTTTTTACTTTTTCTTCTAACAATTCTTTTAATAACCCTTATAATAACTCTGATATCAGAGAAAACATTTCTAATTGAGACAACACAAAATGCAAATACAAAAGAAATGTGCAAAATGTTTGAGAGAAAACAACAAAAATTTTTCACGGAAACAACAGCAATTTTTGATGGAAAAATGAAAGATTTTGAATTAATGGTAAGATAAATTTATTTCAGTACCAAATATAAAAAATACTTTTTACGTATTTTTTTTATATTAATAGTTGTTAGTTTTTTATACATATATGTATATGTATCTTTGTTTCCATCTCTCTTTCTGTCTTCTTTTTTTATCCGTCTATTTCATCTAAATCTAAACATGATTACTGTGTAAATGGACCACTGAAATATGACTACTATGAATAAGCGCGAATAACTAATATAATTGCAACATGTGTCTTGAGTTTCGAGAGTTAATCATCCATTTTTTTATCGCTCGGAATGTGCATCATCCGATGTAAGATGAATATCACGTGCACGATTTTTCTGTAGCTTGCTCTTCACGTAATTACGAATCATAAGAAATAAAAGAGATAACATCTTTCTGCTTTAGATGCTTCAATATTTATTATATTTGAAAACTGGCGTTTATTTTTTAGAACTTATAAGAACTTTTAATATCTCAGCGCAACATTTTTCCATGTTCCAATATTTCAGATAAACAATATTATGTTGAGGCTTAAATACACCGAACAAAACTTAAATAGCATTCGAAATAGGGTATCGATGGGCATATTCTATTTAAAATCGAAATCAGAGTTTTCAACTTACAATTCTGATCTATCGGAAACAGAAAATGATTTCGATTCCAATACTATCTCGGAATTGGATGATTCGACGACTCCATCTGCTTCTGTTCAAACACTAGATCATCAAAATAACGAAATTGAAAGCAGTATCGGCAAAATTTTAGACATATATCCGACGTCGCCGATAAAATTAAGTAAGAACAATTCGATTGAGATAAAAAAATTATCACGCCAAAAGAGGGCCATATTTTACAAAGCGCAAAATCACATGATAATGGAATCTGAAAGAAACAATAATTATACAGCGGTTGTACAAAGAGAAGCACGAGCGACAAAAGAAAGGAGGAATAGAGGAAGAGGTAAAAAACAGCAAAAGAAGAAAGAGAAGAGGAGTGAAAAAGAAAAAGGAAGAAGGCACGAACGCAATCGTGGGCGATTTGGTATATTTGCTTTTGCTTCCTCATAAAAGAAACTGTTTTCGTGAAATTTTTTTCTGATTTCTATGTTAATGTGTTCAGAATGTGTTCTAACACATCGAAAAATTACATTTTTTATAAATGTCTGTATGCATGTATGTAATGTATGTACATACATACATACGCGTTTTAAAACGTTTTAAAAAAATGTTATTTTATGTGAAAAAAGTATGCAAATTGGAAACTTGCATATTATTTCCCCACCATTTTATGTCGTTCATTAACCTTTCTCTATGAAGAAGCCAAAATTAGAAAAATCATCTTGCTCATGATGAGGAAGCAATGTGCAAGTTTCCAATTTGCACATTTTTTTGTTTTTATTAGAATGTTATTTCTAAATTATTTGCTTTATTTACTGAAACAAATTAATTTATGAATTATAATGGGTCAATAGAAATTTTTCTTAATTGGTTCGTTAATATTCGATATATTCAGTGCAATATTTTACCCGAAGGAAAATTTCTGAAATTCCAGAATTAATTTTAATTTGTCTCATAGGTCCGAAAGTGGTTACGTTTATTGGTGCAATACCGCTGCAAGAGTTTAAAAATACAGGTATCTAATAGAAAGAACAATATAATTGTATTTTAAGGCTTTCCGAGCTTTATTATGAGATGTCTACGGCTTGACTTTTTATTTGATATAAATTTATATAATTTATTCTTAATTAATTTTAATTTTATTGAATAAATACAAGGTTCGTGTAGAATTAAGTATAAAATAATATTTTTTAGTTTATATAGGACCATGGATAAAAGGAAACAACAACATTAAAAGTAACAACACCTCATACGATTTTACCAAATTCTACTTGAGAGAGGACGATTATTCGATTGAAATTAATATGAGTGGTTTATATATAATCTCTGTACAGGTAAAAGTTCAAACATTAATTATTAAATTAATATATTTAGAAATTTTTCCGCTTTAATTTATACATAAAATGATATTACGATTACAGATTTTTTATGTTGGAGGACCGGTAAATTCTTATTGGGTGTTGCTAAATTCTGAAGGTTCATCCAAAAAACGAAATCTCATTACATGTGCCGTTGGTTCTACTACATCGGAAGTATCGTGTTATACGAGTGTAACCACATGTCTACAGAAGGGTGACAGACTGTCCATACTACAACAGGAGAAAAACAGGTAAAAATAAATATGTAAATATAATATATATTCTTGTAAATATAATATATGTGCAGTACAATATGGAAGGTTTAAATGTAGAAAAATTTAAGATAGCTTTTAAAATTTTTTATGACATTACTACATTTACACTTTCACATTTTTATGTGTTTGTATTTTGTGGCATTATTTATTACAAGAAAAATATGTTAATCTTTCACTTTTTCTTTCTGCCTGTACATTTTCAGGCATTATTTGAATTATTTTTATTTTATCAATTCTGAGATGTAAATTATCATTGAACCCGAATGATAAAATGCATGACACATTAAAATTACTAATGTAAGGTAAATCTCATAAGCTTTTATACTTTTAGATTGGTTAATTTGCGAGAGGGGTATAGTCAGATCCAACTTGTGCTACTTGATGCCAATGATTAAGATGAGGCCTAACGTAAAGATTTACGAGTTTTAAAATAGATATAAATATATGTTAAATTGACGAGCACAAATATAATGCGACAAGTGTTGAGTTTATAAAATTGTAACGTTATAACATTACAATTGTAATGTTGTAGTCATAACTATACTATTTGTAACGATAAATCAATGGTTGTGATTAAGATAACTAAAATCAAAGAAGGGATAATTCGCGAATCTTAAGTCTTGTGATTTTTAAGATATTTTTATGTGCATAAGATACATATAATAGCACATACACTGTTACTACTATAGTTAACAAACAGGGATGTGCATTATTTGAAATGGAAGCATTTAAAATGGAAATTTAAAATTTAAAATACCTATTTTGTATTTTACATTTAAAATACATGTTTTCAAAAACTGTTTTATATTTCCATTTAAATGGTTTTTACTATTTTCTACTTCAAATGCATTTTTCTTGCAAACTAAAAATTAATCAAAATAATATGCATATACATATGTATATACATTATAATAATCAAAATGTTATTAAAGAAGTTATGAAGTAAATGCGTGTAAATAATAATAAACATCTTTTTGTAATTCCATATGCAAATATATTCATGTAATTTTTGGTTTTTGCATTAAAATTTTTATATTTAATATATATTTTTATATTTAATATATAAAATTTGTATAAAGTTTATAAAAGCTTAAAGAATTAAAAAAAAGTTTATAAAGAAAGCTAATAAAGAAAATGTATAAAATTCATAAAAATTTAATAAAGAAATAAGAATTTAAATATAATATATATGTATATTTAAAAAATTACACGCACACACATTTTCATTTCAAAAATTATTTAAGAAATGTCTATTTTCTATTTCCTATTTTAAATGAGTGTCTAAAAAAACATTTTGCATTTTCAAATGGAAAGCTTTTAACTATTTTGCATTTTCTATTTTAAATGGGTCTGGACAACCATTTTGCACATCTCTGAAAGTATATAATCTATTATTGAAAGTTGTACAATAGCGTCGAATTAATTATCTGTTTACATAATATTCGAAAGACATAGACATAAGAAAATATATATTATATATAACAAAGCAAAGACTAACAATAAGATATGTACTTCTTTAAAAGAGTACGAATTATGAGATTCGAGTTATACCAACGAGTTATAATTAACTTTTAGATTTCATTCTGTATTCAGAAATCAGGTCATTTTCTTTTTAACATCTCTTGACAATTATATTATTTTAAATAATTATGCTATTTGGCTATAAAAACAGAGAATGCAATCAATAATTGCAATCTAATGACAGTTTTATTAATTTCTTTTTTTATAGATTTTCTATAATATGTAGTACATTTATATTGTACGTATACATATATTTAGATAAGGAATGTTCCTTTATCTGAAAGAATGCAGATTGAAGATTTTACTTTCCGAGGAATCAAACCGATTAAAGATGTGATCTTAAGATAATTAGTGAGATTTGCAAATTGCTCAGTTTGAAGGTAAATATTATTTGATTTTTATATACACTTTTGTGTAAATACTGCTGAAAGTAAGAAAGCTTTTATTCCTTTTTATATTATAGTTAGCTAAGTCAAACTTAATATTGTGCCAATGTAATAACAATAAGTAAACAAAAAGTATTAAAAAAGTTATAAGAGAATAATTTTAATAAAACATTGAAAAAACCTTACTATAGACTTTCTCTATATGTATCGTTATTTATAATAATCTATCGCATTTTAGGAAGCTATTATTTTGTGAAATTAACAAATTTAATAGACAAATTTTTTATATTTAACATTAAATATTTGTAATTTAGAATTTATTATTTATGTATATTTATTAACGTATATAATATATATAGTAGTAGAAAGTATATACAAGAGTATATTTACAATGACGATATACAAAACTTAGAATCTAACATGATCATATAATAATTGTCTGGTTTTACATGTTTGTATAACTAATACGCACTAACAAGTTTCATTATTAATAATTTATGTCACCATTTTAAATACATCTATGCGCTTATACTATAAATACAGAAACTATTTGGTAATCGTTGATTGACGACCGAGATGACTGATTCTTCATTATGAATTAAGTCGATTCGCCAGACAACTCTTTCTTTTGCGCAAATATTTCATCTACGAATGCGTTTTTCTCTGCAATATTGCAAGGAAACTAGCGATGCCCGTATTAGTACGCAAAAGATTTTATTATTTGAAATGTTTGTATTTCAAAATAACTGTTTCTGTTGACAATTTGTCTGACTGATTTTAATCTACACATTAATCCTTATATGAATAATCTCTTTTATATTACCGAAATACGTAACTATATATACATGTATACATATATGTTTATATATGTATATATATGTATCGTATATAGATCAAATAGCGCTGGACAATAAGCTGGAGCGGATTTAGACAGAACGTAATAAGATTTGTGTCTTGTGCTACCGCAGAGCTGTTGTTAAAGACACAAAAAATAATGTTGCGTAATAAAACATTTGTCAATTTTTATTTAATATATAAAGTATAGGGAAGGTAAAACATGTTTCTCTCGCCTTTGTTATGCTTTTACTAAATTTGTTAGCTGTAGACTTACCGAGATTCCGGTCTGAACAACAAAACTCGGAAAGTATAATAATTAAAAAATATCGTTATAATTTAATGACAGCCGCAACTCTTGACGACCATATTTTTGTATTTTTTTAGAATAACGTTACTCTCGTCCAGGAAGTACAGTACCGAGATGGCCGAGAGCTTGGTGGGCGCACAGCAGGGTTTGGGCACTTTTCCCGGACTCACCAGATGCACCAAAGTCTGAACTATTGCGTGGTTAGTCGCGTTCATGTGAGCATTCAGCGGAAAGTTGCAATCCCCACTGCAGTAGTATGCATCGTATCCATCTGGCGCGATAATCCAATCCTGTGGAACAAACGTTGGAAAAAGATTGTAAGAAATAATGCATAGCTTGCGTTATTTAAGGTTCCTGGCTCCTCACCATGTTAGAATGTGACGTCAAGGGCGAGAAAGCTGAAAATTCTTAGATGCTATTTTTAAATGAAAAAATACCTTGTAAAATACTAATCAAAAACTATTCTTTTCCCTTGACAATCAATCAACAACCGTAAAACGATTGTGAGACTGGGCCTCATATTACAGTCATTTTACAACTGTTGATTGATTATAAAGGGAAAAGGATAGTTTTCGAAATATTTTAAGAGCGTGCTAAAGTCATCTGAAGTGTTGTTTCATCGAAATATCTTTTTATTTTGACATCTAAGAATTTTTAGCGTGTGTTTTCTCGTATCTGACGTCACAATTTCCAACATGGTGGGTGAGGAGCCAGGAACCTTAAAGCTCCTCATCGCAGCCACATCGGATGTAAAGGGGAAAAATAATTTAATTTAATCTTTTCTCGCATTTCTGACATCTGTAATTCAATAACAGGGCTGCGGCGAAGAACCCTTATAAGATATGCCGATTAGTGTCACTCACCTGCCACTGCAAATCGCGAAAGCTGACGTATAATGTTTGAATTCTGCATGTTCGCGAATAATATTGTGTCGTGCCGGGATCTGCGAGAAAAAAATATTTTATTTATGCAAATATTTCATCAGTTTACAAATTTCACTAATTTTAACATGAAAACCTTTTTTGCATAGCAAAAAAAGTTTTTCTAATCAAGTTTACGTACATTTCAATTGAATCGAGATTATAATATAATTAATATATCCGTACCAGTGTAAGGATTGGTCCGGTAATCCCAACTTGTGGTCTCACTCTTTTTCTTTCTTTTGGCATCGCGTTTCTGCCGAATTTTGGCTTCTCTTCTGCCCGAACTCTTAAAGTAACCCACCATGAAGGGTTGATAATCAGGATCACCTCGGAACTCTATGATTCCAATATCTTCTGGTCTCAGTTCGTGCACTGTACATACGATATATTGATTGAAAAAGTGAATGGATAAACTTATACGATGCTAACAATGATAGTTTATTCTTTATATTAAGCAAAAGTATAGCATGTGTGTAAAGAGAATTCGAAAAGTATGGTCATAAAATAACAAGAGAGAAAGAGAGAGTAATACTTAATATATAAAAGAAAAGCGAAGAAATATGCTGGTAGAAATATTAGTATATTTTTTATCAAATATAAATATATTCATTACTCTGACACATTAGAATCGCCGCGTTTTGCGACGCGAAAACAGAGAACTGCTGTTTACATATTTCTTTGCACAGAATCGCCTCTGTAAGTAGAATGTATTGGATAAATGTGTATTTATTAGAATGCGTCTCTCTCAGGATTATTAATAGTCAACCTTCATGAATATTGAACGCTTATGAATCAAGAATCTCGGCGCAAAGTCACACAGCTGGCCTATCTTAGACATTCACTTCGAACGCGCCAGCGTTTCAATCATCTTTGTCTTAATTACTCTGGAAAATTCCAGGATTGCAATATATTTCAAGTGTTTTTGGTGTATCTACGCGATTATAAATGCTTCTAAATTAATTATTCATTGAGACGTATACACTTATCGATTCTCTTAAACGTGATAACTTTATCATCTAATTTTCTCTCAATAATTCTCTCCCTCTCTGCTGCTAATAGAGCGTTGAGAAAGGAGCTAATTTTTTTCCTCCATCTAATATTGTATTCGGTAATTTCAGGTGCTGTATAAATCGACGATTTCTCGGTGCTAGGTTGCGGCGAACGATCGTATGCAAATGATCGGAGATATCTACTATCGCCGGTGGTACAGCACGAGCTCCGTCTGAGTCCGAGAAAGCTAGTAAATTGACCGGCAGGAATGCGCATTCGCCGTGATTGCGGTGGACACCTGCCGTCGCAGTTGTTGCACTTTGCGCGCCCGAGGAATGCACCGACGGGAGATTCTCGCAGCGGATGGGAGAGACATCGCGCATTCAAGTGCATTCAAGTTCAAGTAATTTTTATTATCTTTTCCCATTCATGGTCGGGGCTGACTCGTCAGTTAGAAGTCAGTTATAGCTTGCAATGAATGGACCACATTACATTTTTTGTATAATCTTGAAACAATTGTAATATCAGATGTCCAAGCTAATTTTCTAATGGTTTTATTGAACAATTGTCATCATAGCTTCGATGAAAAATATATATTATAGAGTATCGAGAAGTGTGTAAATATGTGACTATTGTCAGCTTATATTTAGAATTAGCTTATATTTAGATATAGATGTACGTATCCTTGGAGTTTCTCGCGAGAGAAACACGCGGTAAGAAAGACAGAGAAAGAGGCAGGAATCAGGCGTAAAGATTCGTGAGAGGCATGTGACTCTCCGATCTTGCGTTTTATATTGAACGATCAAAGGTAAACCGGTTGCGCGCGTTCTGAAGAGTGAGACAAGAGGAAAAAGGAAAGCGGCCAGATGAGAGAGAGAGAAGCAAGTAATGAAATAATCTAGGCGCGGCAAACAACAAACCGCACACGTACATAAACACACGCACACACTTGTATATACAAACACGCAGACAGATACACGTACTCGCATGTGCGCACAGTTTGTATACACTTGGATACATTTATATTCACATGAATATGTTCAATGTTATTTGTCACATTATCATTTAATTACAAGATTTTTTATCATTAAATTGACAAAATTTAACAGATTAAATTGTATTATACTAATTATATATATTAATTAATATTAATTAAATTATGTTAATATGTTTTATTTAAATAGAAATGCTATATCTTTTATCGAGTCGAATATAAAGATCTTTAAATGTTTGACAAATAAGAACAATTAACAGAATCTCAATAATAGACACATGTTACAACTAAACAATTAATATCTTATTCAAAAAGCATTGTATTTATATTTAAATTTTAAATGATTGTATATTGGGAGGGGATCGACCAGATTTTTCATCTCGATAATCTAGTAAACAGGTGTAGCTCCCTTATCGATCTACCTTCCTCTGTCCTTGTGCAGAGAGATTCAATGGCCGAATCGGACCCAATCTCTGCTTTTCTTTGTATCTTATTTTATTCTCTTTCTCTTTCGTTTCCTACTTAAGATTGTCCGTCCTCTTGAATTCAACGCGAGCACATCTCGTATTTGTGAGTATATCTCATCAGTGTGGGAAGCCATCGTAGAGACACGATGTATCCCGAATACTAACAAAGTGTGCGAGCGAATCGCGAACACGATCGAGCAAACTTATTCAAGGGAATGTAATATATCTGATTTAAAAGCGACATTTGCACTATTTTGCGCCTAATTATTAAGACACGATAAGATATAAATCGCATTATGAATATAGAGAATAGAATAATAGCGAAAAGATAAAAAAAATTGTTGAAAAATTCGATAATATATAAATTATTTAATTATTATTTCGAAATTTATTTTATACAATTTTATGATGTTTTTTTTTATGACGTGTACTTGAATCTGTGAAAAATTTGCAGGCTCAAGGATTCAACGAGAAGCTAAAGATAAAACGCTAACTAAGCAGTAGCGATATCAAATACCCGAGAAGACCAGGAAGAGATTCAAGATTCAACAGAGGCGTTGTTAAGCTACTAATCTTTCATGTCACGCACACGAGCTTAGCAGAACAAAAATATGGCAGAGTGAGAGCCCTGAACAGGTGTAACATTGAGCAGACACGAATACACGTGATCGCTCTCTTTAAGGATATACCTCGCTCCAAAAATTACTCCAAATAAACGATTTCCAAGCCACGTCAAACATTGTACGTAAAATCCAGCTGGTCCTTAATCTTTAATTAATATCCGTTTTATCTGTTACATTTTTCTTATGTCTGAAAATAGGTATATTTTTCGAATAACGTTAGACTTATAACTCGATTTCGCGCCTCGCTCGCGACCCAATCTCGATAAACATCGTACGTGTTTACATCAAGCCACTCTATATTTAGCGCGCTATTCCCAAGAAGTCTGACCGAGAAGTTTGAACGGAAACACAGTTAATAGAAGAGACTTCCATCCATAAAGGTGAAGGAATACTTAAAAAAAAGACTTAATGCGAGAACATTCTCTTTGTTAGAAATATCGTATTTCGTTACGTCATTAGCAGCAATTTCTCCTATATAAAATATAAACCTTCATTTTGACATTTCTTGAATCTTGCCTTCTCGAATAAATGTCTTGTGTAGTTTTCATCGAGACGAAAGTAACAAAGTGCAATTAGAAATAAGTACATTGCTCACCTAAACGATCGGCAGGATGCACAGAGATATATAGTCCTCGATTTCCACTGGGGTTGTTTACCCAATGATCGAGAGCCGCAGTGACATTCAACGTCAGCCAGCCCTCTTGGCTTGTCGTTACATTTATGGCATCGACGTATTGTAATTCTCGAGTCCTGGAATATGAAAATAAATCGTACATTTTTATGTGATAAATATACATTTAGATTTTTGTATTAAATGATATAAAAATGAGTTTTCTTAATAGCTTGATAGGTTCTTTTATCATTTGTAACTATTATATTAATTTTCTAATCAATATTGTTCTGTTAACTTAACTTGCAAAATTTAATATCGAGATTGGAATGTATCATACATTATTCAACGTTTAATATTACAAAGTTACACGGCAATTAGCAGCAATCTACTTTGAAGTTTGATCTAAAAATATCGATGAAAATTGATTGTATTAGCAAAATGAAAATGAATGATTCTGAAGTAATTCTGTGCATCCTCAAATATTAAAATTTATATACACATAATTCCTTAGTTAAATTATAAATACATTTGTAAAATAACTTGTTATATAACAACATATATATTTTTATTTCAATTTTAACGCAGATCGATGATTAAATTACATGAAAATGTGAGATACACATATTTAAACTACGGTGCAATGACAGGTATTCTTTTTGTTTTGCATATTGATAGATACATACACGTGTGTATGCATGTACATACGGAAAGCTAATATTGTGTTCTTAACAACATACCGTTGAGAGATCGTTACACGTGACATATCTCAACACGAAGATTCTTTGTCGTGATTCTCCGGATTGTAATTTCTAATTAATCGCGAAGCCTCGCGCGTGCCTTGTATCAATAAGAACTCTGTAAAGCAACACATCATTGCCGATCAGTGTCTATTAAGCAAATGATCTTCGCAGCATCTAGCTTTTATCGCTTTTCGAGGATCGATTATAATAAAGATTGAATGAATTTGATTTACTCTTTTAACGAATTTTTTTTATTAATGATTGCCATTCAATTCTGCAACATAATTATCTGTATATTATTTATTCATATAAAAATAGGAAAATATTAATATGAAATTGAATTTAATAAATCTCACGCGCGTTATAATCTTGTTTTCAAATCAGCTAGAGACTAGAGAATTTTGAAATTTCTTGTTTCAATCTTCATCTACAAGAGAGATTGGTATCTGGCCATTTTAATTTCAAATGTAACTTCTCTCACAGTTCAAGAAGAAACGCTTACCATTGGAATTCCGTAACGTAATGATGTACCGCGCAGAGATCTTATTACGAAAGCAACGAGTCGCCAGCTTGTCTCGCGACGAAGAAGAGGCAGGAGGAAGAAAGGAAGGAGGTGGAGGGATGCGTCACGCATAGTTTGACTTTGATGGAAGGAGCCGAAACAGCCGGCGAAAGGGTAAGAAGAAGATGAGGAGAGAGAAGCAGCCTCTGAAACGCAACTGCGTAGGCGGATGAGACGGAGAGGCCACGAAGAGAGGCCTGTTAGGCCGTCTCCACGGCTAATTTACCTCAATTTACGGAATAGTGTTTCCTGTCGGGGCTCGGTATATCGGTCAGGCTCAGGTCACCAAAATTCTGAGGGAAGGGGAGAGAAGGACAAAGCGAGACGTGCCGTCGGCTGTCATTCTACAATTCCTCATACTTAAATCAAAAGGCCGAAAAGCCGAATAGCTCCTAGATGGGCCGAAGCGAAACGGCGGAACGATTTCAATGGATATATAACTAGACAATAGGATGGTAGGTCAACATTTCTTCATGGAAACTATTGTATACATATATGTATATATGTATGAATCTTTTGTATAGACTAATCTGATGAAATCGATTGTATACGTCATATAACTAGAATGATGTTACTCTTGAAATCTTTCATAAGCGTGTTCGACAAATGTTGACTATTAGAATTTTGAAAAAAGTCTCAAACTGGTGGTCAACATGACGTATATGTTTACTACCTGAGGTATTAAAATTGATTACAAAGCTAAATATATTTTGGTGAAAATATCGACATCGATATAAAGAATATTTAAAAGTGTACTACAACGTTTTTCCAAGCGTTAGGAAGAGTTACGACCATTAACGGTGATGGATCGTCTCGTGATTCACGATTTGTGTGACGGAGCGGTGCGTCTATTAGATGAAACGTCTCTAGACAGACCGTCGCCGTTTACCGCCGGCGTAGAGGAGGTTTGCCCTCTCGGATTAACTCACCACGCTTTCCTTTTTACGATTCAGTTCCCATTTGAACGGGATGGCGCCCGCCAATGGTCCTGTGGCTACCGTCCCTCGTTTTTATTCGCTTAAATGTACTTATATATAGTTATATGACCCGATTATCTTTGCATTATTGTTGCGAATAATTTCCTCTAAAATGTAAATGTGTATTTTCCAGATACCGAGGGAAGAAGTGAAAGTAGAAATGTTCCTTTCGTCTTTTGAATGAAAAAGACGGATACAGAGAGATATATCCAGGATGGAGAGGATGAAAGAGGACGTCGTCCAGAGGATTCTCTTTCTGCAGGTAGAACAAATACTTGGGGCTTTTTCGGCGAAGGGGATTAAGGACCTTCTAATTAGGGATACGATGACTATGTCAAAAACCGCGAAGGATGCCCGGAGGAATATGAAATTGGTCTATAATCCAGGCGTCCTTGGCACAAAAGCGAGCGAACGACGAAGACAATTTTTCCTTCGTGCTTTTATTATAGATAGTTTGAAAATATATCACGTTCAAGCTTCTTAAGATTCGAATCTCTTAATATACTAGTATACAATTCTTTAATACTATTTTAACTTTTCTACGCATCCTAGAACTACTAGTATAATTTTGAATAATTATGGATACATTTCTCTTACCCATTCTCGGTCTTCAACACCCGATACACCGTGATCGTGTGAGATCCATGATTCTTGCGACCCTTGAATTCCGCGACGCGGTATAGCTTTAGCTCAGCGCCAATTATTTGATCCTGAGGTGTTACTTCGGATACGTCGAACCAGAGCCTCTTCCCACGTTCATGCCTCACCCCGGGGATGTGATGATCTATTTTAAATTACAAGTCTACGATCAGCCCAGGAGCGCTAACAATAATAATCACGTTAAGCAAAAGCTCACATTATTCGCACATTTGACTTTAGAGCCGCAAATTTCATGGCGAATACACGAGATTTCAAAAGTTATACATATTATACTAAAATGTACATGATATTAATGTTTTCGATGTGTGATTATTAATATTGCTTGTGCGACATTTCGAACAAAATTCCATATAATACGTGTTTAAAATTGTCTTGGTCGAGATTTCGAAAGTGCGTATACCTATATTTTTTTTCCATTCTTTTGGAGGAATTCTACTAATGCGAACTATTTTTAGGGATATAAATTGTAAAAGCGTCGGCTTATCGATGCGGCTCAACTAGGGAACCTGCGACTCGGGAGCTCGTGGTCAAACCACTTTACGAAAAAATCTCTAGATCTCTACAATAGAACGGAAATTAGTTCTTCGTCTTGGGAGCAGAAGACATTTTCCGAGATATCCGTTATCGCAAAACGAAACCTGTACAAAAGGAAGCATCAGGTCGATAATGGACCCTCGGCGAGGGCCACACCACTTGAACTCTCTACGAGGAGAGGCCCTTATAGAAATGAGTCGTGGACAATTCGCAGCGTGAAATCGACCTCTTTCTTTCCGCCAAAGCAGCCGCCCGTTCTGCGGAGCGAAGAAAAGGTAGTAAGAGAGAAATACCCTTCCTTCGCGCGGTAGACTTGATGCCCAGGAAGAGGTGGGAGAGGAAGGGGGCTCTAAGTAATGCCTAATGCCTCTACTGAAGTGGGCGGCGAGATCCGAAGAGGGACGCGAGAGAAGAGAGAACGAGGGGGTGGGAGGGGGAGGACATAAAAATTTGTTTTGTTTTTTCGTTCCGACGGTCGCATTCCAACGGTACCAGATTGCCGGGGCCTCCTCGACTCTCGGGGTGGTCCCAAATAGCTTTTGGGACCGCGCGTCTTGGAACGTTCTGTGGCGAGCCGTGCGTTTTTGTTTTTTACACTGTGCCGCCGCGCTGTACCTTCTCATCGCCCCCTCCTATGTATGTGTGTTTTCGTATACATAAAAGGGGCAGAATAAAATTTCACGAACGTTCTCTTAATTCCCCGATGATGATCAATTTTTGACATCAACGTTCACACGTGACCTGTCTTTTTCTTTTCTGTTGAAGAACCCAGGATGAATAAGAGAAGAGGATCGAACTGTTACATTTAATTCCGCTGCGAATCCATCCATCCATCCATCTATCCAGGATCCAGCGTTCTAATCTTCATAATTCGTAGCCATGCCATTCTCCCTCCGGGCAAGTCGACCGTCCGCGCGAAGAAGGAAGATTGTACAGGAGGGAAGTGAAAAAAGGGAGCAAAAGGACGCGAGGGACGAGCCCGAGCCCCCAAGTTGAGACATTTTAACCTGCTCGTGGCGCGAGGAAGGAAGAGAGAGAGAGAGAGAGAGAGAGAGATACTTATTGACTCGTCTTTCCCAGGGGGGTATCCCACGGTGGTAGGAGGACTTTGTATAAGATATACGGCCTATGGCGAGCGCGTGTGTATCTGAATTAATCCTTTCCGTACCCTCCCTTGCATCCCTTTGCTTCTAAGCTCCTGTCTTTCTCTCTCTTTTTCTCTTTATATTTGTATGTAACGATTTGCGACTTGTTACATCTACTGTAATGATCGGATTTACGTGCATGCCGCGCATTTCGCGTCGAATAGTCTAGAACGTTTCTCACCGACGAGAGGACGACAGCGAAATAGAAAACCAGACGTAAGAACGGAGAGGAGGAGGAAGAGGAGAAGGAGGTAGTAACGGGTTTCCGAGGAATCTGAAATGTTCCCTCTTCCTCTTTCCTCTCTTCTTATCTCATCTTCGCGAAATATATCTCGTTTGATGTTTCAAATCGATTCCTTGTCCACCATTCATACCGTGATCTATGCGTTGTGAAAAAACGTTAGGGAAAAAAAAACGAGAGAAGAAAAGTAATAGAGATTTTTTTATCTTAAATTTGTATCGGAGGCTGCGTGTAATTTTGAATAATTCAATCGTAAAACAGATAGATGACAATGTAGTCCTATAAATTTTGTGTTTGCCGATTGCCCCGAGAACTCGTTACGCGTGTTTCCCATCCTTTTCGTGATTCATCCCTCAGGAACGTGTGCGATAAGGAAAATTCTTCTGGTTTTTTGAAGTCCCATCGATTCTCAATATTAAGGATTTTTTCCGGGAAAACCTTTTCGGCTCGATAATTGTTTTTAGATAATTAATCACCTACAAGATTACTTTTAAGACTGATGTTTAAGGGAAACTATTTAAAATTTTCTGTGTTTATTTGATATCTTTGTGCATTTTTTTTTTTTTTTACAACGTATATTTATATTTGTATTAACAATATCAGCTAATTCCTTTTTCGTAATGTCATAAGAATGCTGTCATAAATTATTTAGTTGTCGAGATGCATCAGGAACGAATTCAGGGGTGAATGAACGCGAGGGAAGATATTACTTTATTTGGTAAATGTATCCTCTGTGCGATCAATTTTTTACCCAGAGTATATATAGATTTTTCGATGAATCTGACATCGACTTTGCCTTATATCTATCTAATTTGATCCTTTCGAAATCTGAAATCTTTCTTTACTAATTTGCGGAGGAAAGTGTTTATTCATTCATCGATTGCATGGAAAAATCGACATTAAGTGCTCCTGGATGGCCGCAGTGGGTACTGCGGCCATCTTGGATTGATGACGTCAGAAGCGAGAAAATGTATTTTACCAAAAAATTCTTGCGACGTACGTGAAAATAAAAATGTTTTCAAAAATACCGGTTGAAATGGATAGAACAGACTTGTAAAATATACCGAGAACTCCTTTTGCTTGGGTAATCAATAAATAACATGTATATGTCGAATGAACTTGAGCCTAACTATAAGGACGAAAACCAGCTGTTTGACATTGAAAAAAAAATTAATATTTGCTTTCACATATTAAATTCTACCAAAATGAGAGTTTTCGGTATATTTTAACACCACGACAATTATTTTAAACACAAAAACACTGCACTAAAACGAAAAATAACGCTGTAAGTCGCAAGAATCTTTCAGTTTGCTAAAATCTCATTTATGCTTATCTATTAATAGACGAAATCATATTATTTATTAATTATATATTATTTTCGTTCATAATTATATCTTTTACCGATAAAACAATATAGAGATTTTATTTTCATCTTGTTTTGAATGAAATCGTCACTGTCAACGCGGACTTGGCAATCGACTTAATCGAAGGATCTATTTTCTTTCAATACCATTTTCTCTATACTAATGTCTATTTTTTTGTTTAGCAAATGATTAAAATTCGATTCGGAATCACTCACTGCGCGGGGTGAAGCTCATGATGGCGTCGCTTTGATCGATCGCCTTCAGATCCTGCCGACTGAGATCGAACTCCCCAGCCTTGCGATGATCCTGGACCGCGGAGTTCTCTTCCTCGTCCTCGCCGAGGGTATTCTTGTAGATGTCCAGCAGAAACTTGGGCGCCGACCTCTTGACCTGGGGAGGCCTGCCGACGACGTTTCGCGGACGATCCGGGAGTCCCAGGAGGTTCAGAAACTCATGTTCCAACTCGCGTTTCTCACGCTGGCTAACCACACGATGGACCACCGTCTGGTCCAAACCGTTGTCCACGTACAGACCGCTCATCCTCTCGGCGCTACCGATGCCGAGGTCGTCGAGGATCGTTGCGAGAAGCAACAGGATGAAGAGAGGCCGTATTGACATCTTGACGATGTTGAAGAGAGGCCCCGGGTGTCTGTTTAATCGTAAGGTTCCTCTGTTTTTTATCCTTTCTCTTGATTTTCTGTCCTTTCTCTCGTCTACTATCTTCTCTTCGAGATTCAAGAGATCACTCAAGAGATTTCTTCAGCTTCTCTTCCTTTTCTTGTCTCTCTTTGTTTCTTTCTCACACATTTATTGACAAAAGAAAAGTTTTTGATATTTATTTTCGTTCCTAAAATTCTTTCACTTATGCAAAACACGTGCGTCTTTTTTCAGCAATCAGCTGTGAAGAGTTCCGCGACTATTCAGAGCTGGACGAGAGTGTTTGGAGGAACAAACGATTCGAGGATTTCACCAAATTGAAAATGTTTGGTAACTTTAGCCTTAGCTCACATTCCAAGAATTTCACACTCCAAACAGCTTACAATCTTTGAGAATTTAATGACTTGATCGCGAACTGGCGGTCGAGATTCTTGAATAACGGTGATCCTGATCGACTGCGCGCGTTGCGGTTTCTCGTCAGGAACATGAACATCGCGGACAGTCACAATCGCAGCGAACTCCTCGAATGTCCTTAATGACTCGACGATCTCGTCCTGCGACTTCGTCTTCCACTGGTACCGCGAAAATCTTGAAGGAAACGATTGTCACGATGGTCGCTTTCGAGCTCGACTCGTGTCAAATATTCAGCATCGATGCGACTGTGTTGGAATTTGACAACTTCGATGAAGGAGACCAGAAATTTACGGTGCATCGCGTCTTTTCTATCAATCAGCCCCGGTGTTTTCGATACTTCTTACGTTATATTAGAAATAATTATCTAAATTAGAAGTATCTATTAGAACATCTATCACAATTCTATCCTTCAACGTTCTGATCTCGCTCGTCTGTTTCTTCACGCGCGACAAAAACACAATATGTCAATCTTTCCGCGCACATCACCTTCAATTTTCCCGAAAAAGACGTGCCAGTTCGCGACTAGTCTGTTGATCGGTCACTTTGCCCGAGCAGTGAAGATTATATATCCTTGTTTCTTCTAGTACTTGAAGATAAGTGCCCCGACACACTTTATCACCGTCAATAACGCAGAAATGACAGACCAGGATCAGGAGCGATTATCCGTGATAAAGGACTAGTTGTGCTCTTCGATCGGCAGTCTGTATCTCTAGTATTATATCGGATGATGCGTTCCGTCAACAGACTGGAAGAAGAACACCAACGCTTTACGCCCGTCGTCGATGAACTGTGAATGACCATAGGTCACCGTGGATGACTCCTGGCAACTCTCGCAATGCGAGTGGCAGTCTGTTTGTCTGGCCCATGCCTGTCGTCGTCCCGAGTCGTCTCTCTGCGAGCTCACCGCCTCCCAGGTCCGTATCTCGGGGCCTGATAGGCCCCTCTCCCGCCGACATTCGAGCTTTTCACTCTCCGAGCTGTTCCTCCTCGTTTACGACACGCAAACGTATGACCTCATTATCACTTCACTACTCTGCTTTGCAACAGCTTAGAGTCGAAGTTGGAGTGTACTTTGTTTAACAGCGTCATTAATTTTTGAAACGAAATTAACATGTGAGAGGAAAAGAAGACATGAACGTGCGAAATAGAAGACAGCTGAGGTTTCTTCATTATCAATATTTAATTTTAATATAAGCTTTAGAAGCTCGATCAGTTGTAGTGTTGAAAAGTTTGAATAATAGTTGAAATTCTCTGATATTAGAGATATAATTTATATTCCCAGTATGGAATACACTAACTAATGCTTGCTAAAACTTTCGATAGGTCAATATCCCTGAAGCTGTATGTGGGATGTGAAAATTATGGAAAGTTTACCGAGTCGTACCTCGACTTCTGAAGCGCAGCAGAGGATGAAGCGAATTTTACGACTCGTTATTCGCACGTTCCTGGATCCTAGAGGTAGGACCGCCCCTGACGAACGAGTAGGCGGTTAATATTGGCAACCAGGACTGGTCGCCGATAACTCGACTCTCTTTAACGAGGTGGTATCGTGAACCAGGACTAGAGGACGCGATGGCGGCTCGTGTGAGAGGCTGTAAAAGATTCCTCTATGTAGGTAACTAATATCTCTTTAACTTTCGCATTCCTATTTACATTTAATAAGATGCGACACCAAAGACAGTCGGTCTCCAAGTACCAGGTAAATAAAAAAAAAAAAAACACCTATGAAATAATTGGAATTTTATGAAACACCTTTCTTCGAAGATGCCCGTTTTATTAGCGCATTTCTTTTAAAATTGCTTATTAAATCGGAATAACAATGATTTTTTTTTAATTGGTCGATGTTGATTAACACCACATCGATATATTTAGATAAATATAATTTTTGCCTAATAATTTTATAGATGTATATTATTTATATATTAGCCAGCGTATTCCATAAAATGTAAAAGGAACAGAAGGTGTAACTGATTAGTGGCCTGTGTGTGGTGAAAGTGAATTCAAGCCGCAAATATCAAATGTGTGAAGGCAATATATGCACGGTGTGAAGAAAAACATGTATCGGAACGCTGCTAATTTTTTTTAGGTCTATTCGAGAATCAATTATAAATGAAATTATTTCTTAAAAATAAACTCGTATATTCGTGTTATTTTTCTAAAGAATTCGCTTCGTTCAAACTTTTACGAATTAATTTTATTTGATATATATCGACATACATATATATATAATCTAGTGTGATTTTGAGGAAAAGAATGTTTCTTTTCGAAATTATAATAAGTTTTGATGTGAGATAAACGATTACGCAAAAACTTTTTTTATTTTTCATTTCTCAATCTGTTATAAATAATCTTCTAATAAAATTTTTAATTGTTCTGCATCGATAAAAACCTGCGGTTATGCGTGCGACAGATAATGAAATGCTTATACTTTTTATATTTTTGTAAGATATTCTTACAATAGATATACCTCTATACAAGTATAGATAAAAACTTGTAGATAAGATTCCTCTAGAAATTTTTTATGAGTAGATAAAAATCTTAAACCGAATTCTCGATATGAATAATAATCGATCACAGGAAGTGTATTCATAGGAAAAATATGTAAGAAATTTTCTTAGAATTTTTCAAGTTGATCATTAATACATGCTGAATAATGCAAAGAATTTTATTTATGTTTTTCTTGGAAAATATGTAGCCACAGAATTAGTTGAGAGTTATGATATATCGCATACACGTCTTAAAAAGACAATAATCTTTTCGCGCTTTGTAAAGTTAATATTTTGATGTCACTGAAAATTTCCATTTTCAAGTCTTTTTAAATTTTTCAATAAGACATATTCTAACGATATTGTCATCAAATATACCTGTAGGAATTTACTTTAAAATTTGAGAAAATGTTCGAAGAAAAAAAAATAAATTTATCTAATGCTCGACATGTCAAATCAAGAAAATAAAAAAAATAGAATGGGACGAGAGCGAAAAAAATTTTTAGATCCTCCAACTTTCGATTTAGACGATGAGGAATTGACATTCAATTTCGCTTAATACAGTCCTCTATAATCAATGTGTTATTTCAGATACGCTGCTCTCGAGTTCCTCTCTTTGTGGGACGACGACTGGCTGGGTAGTGCGTTAAGTCGGTTGGCCATGTCGGTGTCAAGTCGGTGCCAAGAAGTCTACTGGCGATAACCAGCTGCACTGGTAGACTGCCTGCTGCCACAAGACAGGCCCCGTAGGGCCCCTGTGAGACCGGTTATACTTGACCCAGCGCGCGATTCGTTCGAGAGACCGGATCGCTACCGACGTACACACATGTGTACGTATCACACATACAGCTCGAAGGCATACGCAGGATCGCAGATACGAATCAGGAACGAAATGTCGGAGAAAGGAGAGGTGGAGATTGGCAGGAATCCACGCAGTTGGGAGATACAAAACTCTTCGAGAGAAAGAGATGGCATTTATGCAGATGAATCGCCAAGGATAGGCTGTTTATTATTCAATCACGGGCTTTAAAACAATTACGGAAGCGAAAAATTCTACTTCCGCAAGCTCTCTTCTTTCAAACGCTTATCCATGGAACGAACAAAGCGATTTGTAATGTTTCCTGTGGAGATATTTGATAGAATAGGATCCAATAATATAAATATTTCGTTTAAATGATTAAAATACATTACATAATAATCTTTCACCAATTAATAAAAGTTGTTTTTTTTTTGCAGATATTTTTTATTTATATGTCTAAATATAACGAGTATAGTGACAGCTTCTATAGTTTAGCATCTGTATATGGTAATAAGATGAAGAATAAAACAAAAGGGAAAAGGAAAAAGTATCCTCTGAATATTTAAAATGTCTGTTTATTTGAGAAATGTAGAAGAACAGCAGAATAGTTGAGATATTTTTGTTTCATAATCTCTACGTATGCAAATTTATTTCAAGTTGTTGGTATAGTGACAATAAGAAACTAAAGCATTAATATATATAATTCTTTCTATTTGAAGGATACATCAGTACATTTATTGTATTTATTTATTTTAATTGAATATTTAATGTCTCTTTAATCTGGCAGCCACTTTGTATTATAATATCAATAACAAGGAATTGCACATAAATAATTTAATTTAAGCACAATTTTTTTATTCTATTGTCTAGGCTTGTAGTTGTATTGTCAATAATAATATAATATAGAAAATGAGAAGAAATGCTTTTATTCAATATGCATTAAAAAATTATTTACAATGTTAATACTTGATTAATGAATTATTTAACGTACTTTTCCATAAATTTGCGGTGAAATTCGCTTCGCAGAGAATCATTGATGAAAACGTCATGTTTCTTCTTAGGTTCAGAACGCGCACAATTTTTGAAGACAACATCGTCGTCCCATCGTCTTCGTACCTTCATATCCACTCTTCCACTATGCAAGGCATAGTTCAACAAAGGATTTCCCGAAAGAATATTTTCCATGCGTATCCTCTCTTCTTCCTGCCGCTTCTCCATCTCCTGCAAGATTTAAAACAATGCGGATTTGTAAACTATGAATGTCAATAGAGGGATGAAGCTATTGTGAGTAAAAATGTTTTATGTTATTACTTCTAAATATCTGGTCATGAGATTCTATTACTTTTGTTCATTTTTATGTACATATTTTTCATATATCTCTTTACTTCCCGTAATTGTTCAAAATTTGTTACATGTAACAATTATTCTATAATTTTTAATACATGTGTTATAGTACTTGTGTAAAAAAAATGCATTAATTTATAACATGTGTTAAAAGTTACAGAGCAAGTGTGTTGGATTTTTGCTTTGAACTTGTACTTTAACTATAGTCAATTTTATCAAATTGTATGTCTCAATTAATTGAGACACGAGATTCTTCTTTGCATGTTCTCTGGAAGCAAAAGATATTTATAAAATAACTACTTCATCACTGATATATATTATTCATCTGACTTTCATAAGATAAGTTTGCATTCTTTTCACTCTTGACCAGATTTGTAAAGTTTTTAATCGATAGTTGCAAGATTTCCCATACTTTTTTAGCTTGTTCCGCTGCCCGTTCCTTCTTAATTCTCTGGAGCTCAGCCAAGAGCACTGCAGTCTCATCTTCATCGCTGTCAGAATCTGATTCATCCTCGTCAAGTGGATCATCCGCATCTAAGCTGGCTGCGGGAACTTGATCCAACTTCTGTCTCTTCGCGCTGGATGTAGTCGATTCTCTGGAAGGTTCAATAGCACGACGGCTCGATCCTTTATCTTTTTCCACTCGTTCCCTATCCTCCAACTCCTTCCTAAAGTCACGATTTCGCAGTTCTTCGACTGTTCCTTGCCCATACTCCCTGCAAAGAAACATGTAAGTAATTCTTCATATAATTTAAATTTTATTTTCTTTAATTTTTTATTTTATTTTACTTTTATTATTAAAGTGTATTTTATTGACATTTGTTAATATTTTGCGCCCTGTCCTATCATATTTTCATTTTTCCTTGATATAACCTCAAAATAATCTCCGTCAACACGGCTAAGAATTCTCTACTAGTTTTTGTTATATTAATTAATAAATCAATATTTATTACAAAAAATTGCAGATTCCAGAGAGATTTATACTGACGACTTACGACTCCATCCGTCAACATACATACCTATACTTGAGCTTCGTGTGCGATGGCAAGTCCCTGCTGCTGTACTGCTTAGAAATCGCGCTCAGGTCCTTCTCACCTCGACCCTGGCCACCTCGGGCGGGCTCGAAGGTCGGTCTCGCCGCCGTCGTCATGTTTCTCCGCTGAAGAGGCTACGCGATTTTTGACAGCTGACAGGAGGTCGGAGAGACGCGGCTTGTCGGTCGGGTTCCTCTTCTCTGCGCAAAACGTGGGGGGGAATCGCGATGGTGTGATGGCTGACGGGAGTTGTTGGCGATCTTAATCGATTGTCACAATAGGTCGCGGGTGATGCCCCCAATTGTTTTCCGGCGAGGACGCCAGCGGTGACGTGACGTGACGCGACGCGATGACCCGATGCGGCCGGACGCCTCCGATCTGATCCGGCATCGATCGATCGATCGGCATTGAATCGCGCGGCGCGGCTCCGGGATGAGCGAGAGGAAGTTCACGCGCGGCCTGGGAAGCCCGGCATGGCGGCGCAGCTACGGGAAACCGTGTCGCAGGTCGTCCGCGAGAGCACGGTCCAGGTGAGACCCGTCCTCGACGTCTCTCCCTGGAACTGGGTGTTCCCTGTGGCTTTTGTACCTGAGGACTCCTCTTATTCGTCACCTGTCAAACAAACTTTCTCTAATATTAAGCTTCATAAATTAAATTGATCGTTTTTGATGCCTCTGTTGGATTTAATGTTAAATGGATTTCGCAGAAATATTATATGTATATATATCAAATAATGAACTTTCTACGTGCGATAGCTGAATTAATTCTTCACCTTTGAGGTTTGTGTTGTTTTGTGTATTTATCTGTTTGTTTCTTTACAGAGTAAACCACACCTGGTGGAACCTATTGACTTTGAGAACTTTATCCTGAAGAATAAGACATTGCTTCAAAATGACCCTCAGCGAGAATTACTGCTATATCCTCAGGATGATATTTCTGTGAGTTATCACATTTTTATAGTGTTTATCTACAAGCTTGCCAGCAGTATCCGTTTCATTTCTAGATAAGCCAACAAAGCAAGACTGACGATAGGATACGAGATAAAAATATATGAAATACATGCAAAATATAATTCATCTTTATTATGTCTTTCATTTTATGAACAGGCAAAATTGCTTAATTGAAAAAATTTAAGACATAATTTCTTTTAAGATAGAGATATAATTATGATTATTGTTGTTAAATATATATTTTTCTACAGCAAGTGGTTCTGCCAAGAAGATATCGTAGCATGGTACCGACAGCACAGCATATTACAGAAAGCGAAGAAGGAGTGGAAAATCTCCTGACGAAGGAATGTTTGCATAGTTATACATCCAATTGGAATCTTGTACATTACAAATATGCGGTATACAGTGGAACTTATCTCGAATTGCCAAAGTATGTGAATCTAATGTTAAGATTAATTAACATGAAAATTATATTTGTTGTTTTGTAAATAATTTTATTCTTTAAATATATAGGATATCGAAAGCGGACGACCTAAAAGATGAAGTGTATGAAATCGATACAGAAGTGGATCAAGTAGATGAGGTAATATTTTTTTTTTTTCTAGAAGATTTATATTGTAGCAATGATACTTTTGATGCATTTTTAGAATTATTAGAATTATATAAATATCATATTCTCTTGTGTATTTTTATTCAAAATTAAGCATTGTATATATTTTGTAGGAATTAACAAAGAACGATGGCATAACGAAGGAAGGCTACTTGATGAAAGGACCTGAGATTGGCAGTTCAGATCGAATGTTCGCTCATATTGGTTCGAAATCATTCAAGAGACGTTTCTGCCATCTTAGACAGGAAGTTGATGGCACTTACATACTTGAATTTTCAAAGACGAAAGGAAAGGGGAGGCCAAACTGACAATAGTTATGGATTTTTGCACAGAAGTTGTCAGAAATTCAAAGCGTGGGAGATTTTGCTTCGAATTACGAATGAGTGACACTCACAAGTCTTATACCCTGGCCTCCGAAAGTGAGACTGATATGCAAGATTGGTTGTTGAAACTCAGTTCTGTGTTGCAACATTATAAACAGCAAGAGGAAAAACGTGCCGCTTCATTGGAGAGAGCCTGCAACACGCCTCCGCCTTCACCACAACCCATGCAGGTGATGCAATTATTATTTTTAAAGTTGCTTTAGTCAATTATTAATTTGTATCTTTTTTTATAGAGTTTGATAAATCGATCTAATTATTTTTTATTTTGATTTTAGGTTTATGGCACCCTGAAGGGCCTTGAACAAAGCATGAATCCACAACTGATAAAGTACTCCAGAGAGACTGATACCAGCATTGCTCTAGCAAGGAGAGAAAATAGAAAAAGACTGTTCAGTGTGTATCCTTATATACCACACTCCAAGATAAGTACAGGGCAATCTGTCGATCAAAATGTGGATCCTTACAAGGAGCAATTCGGCCATAGAATTTTCGTCAAGTGCGAAAGCCTGAAATTTCGTCTGCAAGCACCTATAGACGAGAAGGAATCTTTGTGCCAAGTGGAACCTTATTACACAACGTTGAGTTTATTCGACGCGAGAAATGGTAGAAAACTCACGGAGAATTTTCATTTCGACATTAATCATGAAATGGTGCGAGATATGACAAGAGAATTGAGTCCAGCAGGAATCACAACAGAGACGGAGGATATTACTCTTCCCGGGGATTTAAAAAGTATTCCTTCAGATTGGATTAAGTATCCAAAACAGGTATGCGAATTATTTAAATATAAGAACGACAGCAGAGAACCTTATATGATCTTAAACATATAAATGTGCAATTGCAAGATAAAGATTTATAAAAGATACTCAACATTTGAAAAATATACTTGCTGTTGCAGGCTATATTCAATATCACCAATCCTCATCCGGACATATTTCTCGTCGTCAGGATAGATAAATTACTTCAAGGGAACATATATCAGATCTCAGAGCCATATTTGAGAGCTACGAAGGATCCAAGATTGGGTTTGAAGGTGCACAAACAGGTCCGAGCGTGTTGTCAAAGGTAAGATTTGTATGTTTCAGATATATTTTCTTGTATTGTCGCAATATCAAAGCGTAAACTTTTCGATTAAAATGAGACAATTAAAGAAATGATTATAAAAAAGATCTTGCAATCAATTTTTTTAGACTGGGAAACTATAGAATGCCATTTGCATGGGCTGCAAGACCATTATTTAGATTATATAGTAATGAATTGGACACATCATCGGACTTTCCAGCGATATACAGGCAGGAAAATAACAAAATAAAGGACGAAGAACTATTAAAACTTCTTTCAGAATATAGAAAGTATGTATATTCATAATTAATTAGTATAATTTAGATAGTTATACTATAGAACTTAATGTATGTGCTACAAATAAATATAATAATAAAATTAAAGATAATTAAATATTATGAATATAATTGAAGATAATAATTAAATTTGTCACAAAATTTATTTATAATATAATTTATTATATTAATAAAATTTTCTTGCAGACCTGAGAAGCTTAGCAAATTGACTGTAATACCTGGTTGGTTAAAAATAAAAATAGAACCTATTACGGACATCCCTGAAAGTGAGTAAATGAATAATATATGATAATATAATATAATAATATATATTATTAAAAAAGTTTTGTTGTCTTGGTTTTTGTGCATAATATTTTAAGAATATTTCAAAGCTAAAAAAATTTACAAATTTCGAGATTTAAGAATTAAAAAATTCAAGAAAAAATATAATTTGAATATTTAATCGGTGCACAAAAACTAAATTTTGCAAATTAATTTTCTTAAAGACAATTATTCTAGTAATTTTTGTAACAAAATAATTCTTAATTCTTATTATAAAAGAAGAAATTATATTTCGCAGTGGTTTTGAACAGAAGTTCAGTATGTGATACGTAAAATATGATTTCCAGATACGTTGTCAACTTGCCTAGCACCTTTAAAGTCATTTCCGATACCTCCAACGGCAGAACCAACAATCGAGATCGCCGAGTTCGAGAGCACTTCTGAGAGAGACGTGTATCCATACGTCTCGTACATCAATCATCTCTATGTATATCCACAGACCCTCTGCTTTGACAGCCAGAAAATGTTTACCCGAGCTAGGAACATAGCGTGCATCGTGGAGCTTCGCGATGACGATGGCGAGAATACCAAACCTTTACGAGTACGAGTGACAAAAACTTTCTCTTTAACTACAAGTTTATACGAAAATTGAATCTACAAATCTTGATTTTTCTCTCTTTGCTATTATGTAATAGGCGATTTACGGGAAACCTGGTACACCATTGCTATGCCTGCGAGCATCGTGCGCAGTTTTACATCACAACGCGGTGCCTTCTTGGTATGAAGAGATCAAGCTGAAGCTGCCTACAAAGTTGCACGCGAAACACCATTTACTCTTTTCCTTTTATCACATAAGCTGTGATATGAACAAGAAAAAGGAGAACGGCGTTGAAAATTGCGTCGGCTATGCGTGGGCGCCTTTGCTGCACAAAGGAAGGTACGCCGAACGATTGATGAAATTAACGGTTGCGGGATATTGACACTTTTATCGATAAATAAATATGTGTTTAAAATGTTACGTGCAGACTGAACGTGGACGTGGAATCGAGTATCCAAGTACTACCTGTAGCGACGCACTTGCCACACGGCTATCTTTCCATACAACCCCTTGGGCTAGGAAAAGGGGTAAGAGTAAGATCGATTATCGGTATTATTAATTAATTAGCACAAACGATAAAATTAGTTATAAATTAGTTGTCAAAATAATGGCGGTAAAATGAAAAAATAACATTCATAGAGGCACGAAACAAATATATTTAGATGAAATAACATGAATGTACGTTTTCGTAGAACGCTGGACCGGATATCACATGGATCGACTCTCAACGACCCATCTTCACGGTATCTTTCCAATTAATTTCAACGGTATTTACGCGAGACCTTCATCTGCACAATCTGTTCGTTCACGCTGAACGTATCCTGGACACGAGACCTTCAACGATACCGTCGGATTCAGAGACCTGTAAAATCTTGAAGGCGGCACACGCAGTTCAACTAGTCACCGTTATAACGTTTTTACCTACTATATTGAATCAGTTGTTCGTGTTGTTGGCGTGCAATACCAGTCAGGAGATCGGATTGTACGTGATCAGGGTCTTGATACACTTTATAAACATGGTACACGAAGCCGGGCGCAAGGAAATTCTACAAGCGTATATCAAGGTATAAGATGTTTGGATTTGCAGTACTTTTAATTAAACATTTTCATTATTTATTGTCGATTTATCTCGATATTCTCTTTGTGTTTGTACGTAGTTCGTGTTTGTGCTGCCTCCTCTACGAAATGGCAACGTCACGGTTCACGAGCAACTGGCGAAACATTTGCCAGCTTTATTGCAACCGAGCAACACCGATTTTCTGGTGGTGAACAAGTTTATGCACCACTCGAGCTTTTTCTTTGAAATAATGATTAAAAGCATGGCGCAATATCTCCTAAGTACTGGTAGGATAAAGGCAAGTTGTTTTGGAAACTATTTGTAATTAAAATGTAGATTGTTCGAAATAGCTTGCATTTGCCGAGATAAATTATCATACATTAATATCTGTTTTTGTAAAAATTAATCATTTCACGTAACTGAATATAATAAATACAATATATTTATAGATGCATAGAAACGAGCGTTTTTCGAACGATTATCACGAGAAGATCAAAGCCTTATTGGAAGTAATTATGCCATACCTAATGACCAAATACAGAGAAATGCCAGTGGAAACGCACGAATTGAACAAAAGCCTCGCACAATTCTTAAAGGTATATAATATTGTGTATATATATATATATATATATATATATATATATATATATATATATATATATCTTTATCATCTCATCTTTTAATTTTGATTATCGTAGAGATGCCTCACATTCATGGACCGCGGCTTCGTGTTTCGTCTCATCAATTCCTATTTGGACAACTTTTCGCCGGGTGATCCACGCACATTGCACGATTTCAAGTTCACCTTTCTACAGATCATTTGCTCTCACGAGCACTACGTATCATTCAACCTGCCGATGATGCAGTCGCGTCTCGTTTCCAGAGGTAGGTTTTTCTTGTCGCGTGTATGTAAGAATTGCGGTGAAAGTAGTACTAATTTATTGATAAACTTAATCATTTCGCGTGTTGTTTGAAAGATGACAATGACACTGATTGTGAGAGAGAACCAGAATGCGATGGTACGTTCTATATTTATATATCCCCCCACGAATATGTGTTAACATTTTCATGTTTGTAGCTATATGTAGGTAATTACAATGCGAGTTAGAATATAATTTAAATGTCAAGTTTAAAAGCACCTGTGGAATCGAAGGATTTACAAAACGACAAATATTTGCACTATTTATTTATTAATATAATCGCGTAGCGCGCGCTTGCGTTGTTTTAGTATGAACTAAAAATCACATATGCACTCTCTTACTTGTCTGTTTTATATTACACGCATTTATATGTATTATGTGTATAAATTTCGGTTGCATTATACAATTAGAAAGCGAATATTGAAAGTAGAATATGAAACTGAAATGTTTTTATTTAATGAACGACAGATTTGATGAATGAATATTGTCTCACGGAGGAATTCTGCAAACACCACTTCCTAGTTGGTCTACTGATGCAAGAAGTTAAAACTTCTCTCAATGAAATTGTGCAGATTCGTAAGGTGGCTATAGGCACTTTACGAGACTTAATGGCGAAGCACGAATTGGATGATAGATATCAGAATAAGGTGCGTGACTGAATATCTTTATTAATTTATTTAAGACAAGCTGTGCAATACTTTTAAAAGAATCTATATTGTTAAAAAAAATAAATAAAATTATTTATGCGAATTAATCTGTAACTATTTGTTTTTCTGAATATTAATTAATTTTTTCAGGGTCAATTGAGTAGAATAGCATCGGTCTACATACCGTGGCTCGGGATTGTTCTGGAGAATTTGCACCGACTAGAATCAGTACAAGAGAGTGAGATCAAGATAGAAATGAAACAAAATAGTACAAATAGGGTGTCAACTAGCAGTTCGTTTCTGGCAACAAAGGATAGCACTATCGGTGCTACTGCAAGCACACCAAAGTCCATTCATAGGTACTGATTGATTATTGGACAGTTATTTGATAAAAACGGAAATCGAAAAGAAGTAGTAATATTGCTCTGTTTTATTGTTGCGTTTAGATTGACTCTTCATCTGGACACTCAGTCACCCGTGAGAACGTCTATACATCTGCGAGACTCGACTTACTTCGCCGCTATCGCGGGTCAAGGATTAGTAAATGGATATTCCTGCGCTAGCGTCGAATCCGACACGTCGACGGTATCTGGTGCATCCCAGTCCAACATTTCCCAAGAGACTGCCATTGTTAGGGAATTGGTGGATAACGGAACAGGCGAGAAGAAGAGGCATTCGCGTACGTTGAGCGTGACGCAGTCGTCGCCTAGATGTGATAAATTGCAACCGTCAGAAGTGAAGGATATATTACTCTGTTTTCTGTTCATCGTCAAATATCTGGGCGATCATCAGGTAATCGCCTGGTGGCAACAATGCAACGATACAGAAATACTGAGCTTCTTCACAGTGATCGAGTGAGTAGCAAGCAGATTAAAATAACATAAAAAATTAAGGTATACAAGATTGTTAATGCTTGTTGTTCTTTTCTATGTTTAGAATGAGCTTGCATCATTTCAAATATATCGGTAAGAGGCAAATAGCCGCCAATGCCGCGAGTAATGTTGGAAAACCGCGTACCGTTAAAGCGATGACTTTACCGGCTAGAATGGCACCACCAGATTTCACTAATGAAACCACTACCGCTACCAGCACATTACAACCTCATAATACAGTTACTAGAGAGAATCTTGTTGAAAATGAAACCGGTAAGGTGTACCAAGCTCTGTTGGAAGCGAACATGGCGACGGAAGTCGGTCTTATCGCGCTGGATTGCTTGGGGCTCTTCTGTATTCATTTTAAAGTAATTATAATTAATAAGCTTAAAAATAAGAATTATAATTAGTAAGCTTTGTTCTAGCTAATGATTTTATGTACAAAATATGTCGCCAATTATTCTCTGGAATATTTAAATTGCTAATTATTTTTATTTGGCATAATTATATCACGCTATAATAACATAATATAATAACATAATTACAAAAAACGAAAAATTTGGTCAGTTTAGATTATAGAGGGAGGAAAGTTTTATATATAAAAAATAAATAAATATCCTTAATTATAAAATAATAGGAAAATAAAGAAATCTATAGAAAAAAGTGTATCTGTAGATTCTAGCAATTAAAATGTATTGTTCTAATAAATCTAATTTTTTTGCAGGATGTTCTTTTGGCGAATGAAGGCGACAACGCAGTCATGCAAAAGATTTTCAACATTTATTTATCGTTTCTTCAAGTCGGTCAGTCAGAAACCTTATTACGTCATGTTTTCGCTGGATTTCGAGCTTTTTTGAACAATTATTCCGTCGCGCTTTTTAAAGGTATTGACTTTTAATGGAGGAAGAATGCATAACTGATAAGAGATTGCACATACGAGTAATTGACTCATATAATATACGTATAAAAAGCTTGAATAAAATTCTTTATTTTGCAGGCAATGCTATGCTTTGTGGACGTTTGTGTTATGAGCTGCTACGTTGTTGTAACAGCAAGCTGAGTTCCATACGACAAGAGTCCTGCGCTTTGCTGTATTTGCTCATGCGAAGTAACTTTGAGTTTACCAGTCGAAAGGGATTGACTAGAGTGCACTTACAGGTACAGTAAGCTCGAGTTTACAAGTATAATGGCTAATTTTTCTCTCGTTTTATCCCACGATATATTTAAAAACTGTTCAATCATGATTAAATGAAATAATGCTCAATAATCGATTCTCTCTTCTTTTACAGGTGATAATTTCAGTCTCCCAAATGTTGGGAAACGTAATTGGTTTGAACAACTCGCGATTTCAAGAATCGTTATCGTTGATCAACAGTTACGCTTCCTCCGATAAAGTTATGAAAGGCACGGGTTTTCCAGTTGAAGTGAAGGATCTCAATAAAAGAATACGAACGGTTTTAATGGCGACCGCGCAAATGCGAGAGCATAATAACGATCCGGAAATGTTAGTTGACTTACAGCACAGTTTGGCAAACTCGTACGCCAGCACGCCCGAGTTGAGGCACACTTGGCTGGAGACGATGGCCAGGAATCACGCCAGAGACGGCAACTTTTCAGAGGTATTTTTGCAAATTATCACACGAACTCAACGTGTGTCTCTTATTTATCGAAAAGTTGTTTCACGAGACTCTCTTACATAATGTACGCATTTCAATAATACTTGTTTTATTTTTAAGGCTGCTTGCTGCCAATTGCACATTGCAGCGTTAATGGCCGAGTATCTAAAATTGCGGAAAGTTCAATCATGGGGCGCAGAGGCTTTCGATCATATCTCTGCCAACATATCGAAAGACGAGCGAAATCTTAAGCTCGACGCTGGTGAGATTTGTATGTTTGCTTTATTGTATCGTGTTTATAGTCTGTGTTGTACTCTCGTCGTATTCTACATGGACATGTAAATTGAAAACCAATATAAGAGATATTAAATATATATATATATATTTTCATAGGCGTTCAAGATATTCACTATAATGAAAATCTCTTTCTCGAGCAATTAGAAGTTTGTGCTGACACTTTAGAGAAAGCCGAGCGTTTCGAACTGCTCGGACACTTGTATCGCTTGATAGTTCCTATGTATGAAAAAAGAAGAAACTACGAAGCTCTGGCGAATTGCTACTCGCACTTGGCGCAAGCCTATAATAAAATCGTGGAAGTCACACGAACTGGCAAAAGATTACTTGGAAGGTTTTACAGAGTAGCGTTCTTTGGCATGGTAAGAAATATTTATTTATGTATTACTTAAGGCTTCTGACTCCTCGCCGACCATGTTGGAATTGTAACGTCAGATAATAATTCAAGGAATAGTTTTCGAGATATTTTAAAAATGTGCTAAAACCATCGGAAATTTTTATCGAAATATCTTTTTATTTAAAAATGGCATCTAAGAATTTTCAGTGTGTGCTTTCTCACCTTTGACGTCATAATCTAACATTGCGGCGAGGATCCAGAAGTTGAAAAATTTGGATATACATCCATACGCAAATTACTTGTCGTCCAAGAGATATGTAAGATATGTTTTATATCTTTTAGGCATATTTCGAAGAGGAGAATGGTCAAGAATATATCTACAAGGAACCCAAAGTGACATCATTATCTGAGATATCGGAACGATTGTTGCACTTATACAGCGAAAAGTTCGGATCTGAGAACGTTAAAATGATAATGGATTCTGTACCGGTAGACATAAGCGAATTAGATCCCAAGATAGCGTACATTCAGGTGACACACGTAACACCGTACTTTGAGAAGTCCGAGTTGGAAGTGCGACAGACTGAATTCGAGCAAAATCACAATGTATCGTGCTTCATGTTCGAGACGCCGTTTACTAAGGAGGGCAAAGCGAGGGGAAATCCAGAGGATCAATGGAAACGCAGGACTATTCTCACGAGTAAAATCAAATAATTTGAATTATTTCTTCATATTAGGCTGAAATCTTACTTTATCTTGAAATAGAGGTATAAAGCTTCATTATGTTTGCTTTCACAGCACAATATGCTTTCCCGTATGTGAAGAAACGCATTGGAATTGCCGATAAACGAATAGTGGAACTGAGTCCTATCGAGGTTGCTTTGGACGAAATGAGACAACGTGTTCAGGAATTGGAAGACGTAGCCTTAATCGGGCCGACAGACGTAAAGAAGCTGCAATTACGTCTTCAGGGTAGTATTTGCGTCACAGTAAACGCCGGTCCTCTGGCTTACGCTTCCGCGTTCTTGGATCCCGCCTTGTCTCCGCAATATTCTGATGACAAAGTAGAGGAGTTGAAGGATGTTTTTAGGTAAGCTTTATCATGATCTCTCTCGCACGCGAATGCCACGATTGCGACAGTGATTTATGGTTGCGTTGCGCTTTTTCAGGGATTTTGTGAAGATATGTTACACAGCGCTACAAATTAATAGCAAACTGATCACGCCGGACCAACACGAGTATCAAGAGGTGTTGCGTGAGAATTATCAGAAATTGTGCCAGAGCTTGTCGTCCTTGTTTGGGGAACCAATATGGCCGGATGAACAAGTAGGAAGCTTTAAACGCAATAGCGCCGCTTTATTCAGTGCCATCAGCGGCGCCAATAATCATAGCAGTACAGCCTAAGTCAATAATCTTAGATTGTTCATCTGATAGACCTCGGATTTATTTATCCTTTTTTTTAGCATAATATGTAATATTTAAGCATCTTCCAAACACAAAGCTCGTGAAAGTTACTTGTAAATTGTCATTTTGTATTTAGTTTTCTTCTTGTTGCCACATCATTAATACAAATCTGTGATTAAGTATCCATATTTTGCAACGTTTGGCCTAATAGGAAAACATTTTCCGATCACTGCCAGATATTTTGGACAAGTATTTAAGAACATTATAAAAAAGGTACTGATTAGGGAATTCTGTGGGTGGATTGTAGTCATTTATAGTATATATAGAATCAAGAATTTGACAAGCCAGTGAAGAAAGCTACTTCTACTTATTAAAATTATGACGTTGATGTTGTAGTCGAATAAGTTGCAAGTTTAGACTAATAGAATATAAGTTGGATGTCAAAGACTCACCCCCCAGGGCATTTATATAGCATAATCTATGACGATAAAAATGTACTTTGATACACATCTTAGTTCTTTCACTGTGAATAATATTAGTCCCTAATGCATTCACATATTTATAATGTTTGTGTAATCAATTTTGTAAGAATTATATTCTTACCTCTTTAAGAAAACTATAGTCTATAAGAGCAGAAATAATTTAAGAAAAGAAAAAGAAATTGTAATATTTGAAGAATTAGATTAATTTTTTTATCATGTCTTAACTGAATCCTTATTACATCTTTTTGCTTCATTAATATAGACGATAGTTAATTCTTTATGCTTGGAGACTATATATATTTTAGCGTATCAAATTTATAACTTACATATAATCATGAAAAGTATGAATAAATTTTTTATCCTATGTATGTATACGTTGCAATATGTATAGTATACTGATGATTTATAGATACTTTATGTAAAAATCGATTTGTGTATATAACTATTTTGAAAATTTTTCTTGCATATATAAGTACTTTCTTGCATATAAGTGCTATTATGCGATCGGCTGTTTTAGAAATAATGCAAAACGAAAGTACAGATCCTTTAATATAAATCATCAGACATATTTTTTGCTACATATTATACATATTATGAATTTACGTAATGCGCTTGCATTAGTAGTATAAGGGGAAAAATTTCTTTTTTTCTGTACGGATCAAGTAACTTCTATGCCAATTACCGCAATTTATGAGAAATTAAATAAAAGTTTATTTATACTATATATGAAGAGAGGTGGAGACTGTAGTATCCAGTTGACTACGCTTTACGTATATGGAAACAAGTCCGACCACTTTGATACCTTGCAAATGCGCACATATAGGGGTAATGTTACATATTGATAATTAATTATGAAAAACGCGTGACATAAAATTTTATAAACTGCGAATGCGAGCGAAAGAGAGAAAGAAAGTATATATGTGTAAATTCATTTATTATTCGTGAAGTCATACCGGTGCGGATATTGTAGACTAGAAATAAGCTTTAACAAGAAATGCTAAAATATACGAAATGACAGAGAAAAGTTTGCTTTGAGTATGTGTCATAAATTATGTTTCAAATCTTTTTTTTTGTTATCTGAACATGTAACGAAGATGTGTGTACGCATACTAGAGTACACATATTAGAGACTGTGATGCCTGATAATTGGAGACATTTTCTATATTTAATTTTTAAAACTTTTATTTCAGTCTTTATTTTAAATGTTTTTAATGTATATAAAAAATAGATTTAGGAAATGTAATTACGTTAATGTATAAACTATTTCATAATGTCGATTATATAATAAATAAAGATAAACATTTCTCTCTCGAGTGTTTCGAAATTTTGATTGGAATAAGGAGTCAAAGAAAAAATTCAGTCCATTTTTTTCCTATATATCATGACCTGATACAATTATGAAACAATCTTTTGTGTCTAAGCATGTAATGAAGGAGATTTCTCTCTTATCATGTAGCTTATAATTTTTATCTAATCTTACAAGTCATTTGCTGGTTTTTAAATTTCAATTAATCTCACATTTCCAAATCGAATATTTAAGACATTCGCGAGTAGATAATCAATTTATTACGAGTCACGATTTTTTCATAGCAAAATATAACGTAGATTTTATTAATTTTAATCAGAACTTTTTATGTTTGTAGATACAGTAGTTTATCAGTTATATATTTTGATTAGACAAAATTTATCATAACTTATTAATATGCAATCTTATATCTTTTTTTCTTTTTTTAATTACAAAATAATATATTATTATAGCAATTCTAATAGAATTTAAATAGGACTAATATAGAAACAAATAGAATTTAATAAAACATTTAAATTTATTATAAAATAATCATAAATATTCATTTGATTAATCGTAATTATGACATATTTAATTTTTAATTAATATTAATTGTGCATAATTTTATATAAAAAAATTGCAATTTATAAGTTTAATAAACAACTAAAATCTAAAAAAATAAAAAATAATTTACAAATACGTTGCTTGAATATTATAAAAATATAAGTAATGTTATTTAAAATTGTGTAACAACAATGGAGAGTACAAATTAATTTTTTTATTTACAAATTTATATATTACAAAATACATATTGGCTATAAAATCGATCGAACTATAGAAAATGTTTGTTTTTAATTTCCTATACGTTCCATATAACTTTACATAAAATATTAGAATTTTACATAAATTATTAGAGTATAAAATATATAGTTAATATCCTAGATAGCAAAATGTTAGCCAATAATCATGACTTTACAGCAGATTCCTATCCTAAGATTAATTGCTGTATTTGCAATTGATGACATTATGCTAGCATAAATAGTAAATAAAATCTGACAGCAGATTAGCGGCAAAAACCAAGAAAATTTGCACAATATAGTTAATGGTAAATTGGCGGTAGAAACCTAGTCTGTCAAACACAATCTGATAGCAGATTGGCGGCAGAAATTGAGCAGGAATAATTAATCTACAATTTCTTGTCATTTAAAAATATGATAAAATTGAATATTTTTCAATGAATATGTGCATAAAATGCAGTATCCATTAATTATAATTTATTTTATAAATATGAAATTTAATATAATATAATTAAATAAAATAATATGACATATATTATATTGTAGCTATATCTCAAATAGCAATTGTATACTTTGTAATGTAAATTTGCAAATATTAATTTTTTGATTAGTCCATAAAAGAAATACAAGTAAATATTTTTCAAGCATTTTATAACGAGAGACTACGTGAAAAAGAAACAAATTTGCCCATTTTTGTCGTATTAATCATGAAGATCATTCATACAATTATGAAACTTTTTGTGCATAAATTATCAGTGCAGTATATCCAATAGGCATATCATCTCCATTTTTCTCTTTCTCTACGTTATGTATCTTAAAATTATTTTGAATAATATCTGCGTATTCTTTAGCTCTTATTTCCGCAAATTTACGTGCTAATTCATTCTTGAATTCAACTCTTAGATTATTCGGCATGTCGTCCAAAAAGTTAAAAGTACATTGTGAAGTGACCATGGCTATCGAATTGAATAAAATATATACGATTAATTTAATATTGTAAATCAAATAAATGAGAAAAAATATAAAAACATATTAATCACGTAGCCTAGAATTTAATTTTTGCTTGTATATATATCAAGGAAAAGACTTACATAGAAATGTTTCTGCATTATCCTTGTAGTTCAATATCCGATGACTGCAATGATTAACTTGAAATCCAATATCTTCAAGCATTTCTATTATCTCTTCACGAGGTTGGATTGAATAATGAAGTGACCCAACATACTTTGCTTTGTCCTATATAAAAGATAATTGACAATATATAGTTAAAAAATTAAATGTGCAATATATATATTATATATTACATATAAAATATTTGTTATACAAAAAAGATGTATCCAAAATTAACTCAGGCATCAAAATTAATTATCTTGACGTAATTTGAGATTAAAATGACAAATTTTGCTACCTATAGAAATGTCAAATAATACAAGTACACATAAAACAAAATTGAATCTCATATCTTATGTTAGCCAAATCTATATAAGCATACATTCGGATGATTTTAAAATAAAAATTTCACAGTTACACAGAAATTATTCTACAATATAATCTTATATTATATTTCAATTGGCAATAATATTCACCCCCATATACGATGCATATAGCTCATCTTGCGCCATAATTTTCATAACTTCAAAAAAACTATGACGAACTATATATAATATCAGCATAGTTTTGTCAGGTCGAAGCATACAATACATATTTTCAAACGTCTGGCTGTTGAATAACGAAGATAAATGTTAATGATTGTAATTTTAAAAATATATAAATTTATTAGAATTATTTTTCGAAATACATAATGATGCAAAAGTATATATTAGTAAAATCGTGTATTACAAAAATTCTTTCTTACAAAAATAATATTATAATTTAATGTTACAGGTAATTTTTTCTTACAGGGGATGTTAAGAGAAGGAACAAGGGGAATTTCTGAGATCCCAACCATAGGATTCAAATTCCTCAGTTTCCAAAAATTTCTAAATATTAATTTGTCGCAATAACATCGCGTTTGGCTCTTAGTCGAGATGAAGATGGAGTTTTTTAAAAAATAGGAGAGCTGACTGACAAATATTCTTATTAATTATAATTTAACATTATTAAATAAATTTTCTTACCGAATGTCATGGCACCAATGCAAAGTGTGAAATGAGAATATGTGATCAAATTTCGAAATATATTTCTCCGGCAAGTTTTTTGTTTGAATATCCAACACTTCGAATTTGAGTCGTTCCTTGTCATCGTACATTTTATTTGCGTATTCGATCGTACTTGCCATAATATCTGTGCCTTTATATAATATACATATATAGTTTTAACATTAATTAATATTAATTTTCATTGCATTATGTGTTGTTTTTGTGCGCGCGTGAGCTGTCAAACTTTTTTACGATTCATTATTTTTTCTTACCGATCATTGTTGCTTTTGGACTAAGAGCTGTAAGAAGAATATCTTTTGTTGTATTTCCAGGTCCACAACCAACATCCATACATTTTCCAGTAATATGTTTTATTCCTCGGCAAACTCGTCGACAATAAGTGATATAATTTGTTTGTTCGCTTTAGTAAATAAAGCGTACTGCGCTGCTTGCATCATGATTTTATGATAATGTTCAAGTATATAACTAAAATTTATAAAAACTTGAAGAAAATGAGCTATAATTTAAGAGTCGGTGTGTCGAAATTTCAATATATGCAAATATACTCTGCGTGTAATTCTTCTTTACTTATTCAGAACGATTTTGGTTTTTTTTGAACTATTTTTTTTAGCTTATATAATATAATACATTAAAATATTCGGAATAATGGACAAAACAACACTCAATACAATAAGCTGAGATGGTTTAAAGAAAGGAATAAACGTTTTGAATAAATAAAAATGAGCAATTAATTACACACAGTTTTAAAATAACCAAATTACCGGAAATATGTGAATTGTTAGATGTTGCTGGTGAAATTGTTGATGAAATGAGGAATTTATCGAGCTACTTATAGTTCCTGCGAAAAATTACATAGAGAGCAGATATATATTATGTAAAATCATTGTTTTTGAAGAAAGAGCATTTTATACGATGAGTGTACTGAAGTGTGTGTGTGTGTGTGTGTATGTGTATGTAAAATGTATGTATACAGAATAAGAAATAATACAAGATATTAGCATTTAAAAAAATAGTTGCGTGAATAGAACAGTATCGCGAACTTTTTAAAGAGACATTTCTTAACATAAAAATTTAAAGAGAAAATTATATTATAAAAAGATAGATAATGTAATTCGAGGTGTTGTGTGCCTCGGGTCGGGCACAAGGGTTCGCGCCAAATTAGGATATGGATTCGGGGCGTCGAAAGTCGGATCGGGTTGTCTTAAGATGTCAAATCTTATGCACCTGCTTTTCTTATTAAACACGTTTGTTTCAATTGAACACTTGTCGTTGGCTTATTTTAACAATATTACACCTATTAGTGTAAGTTATTTAAACTAGTCTCGCGATAGCAACAATATACATGTATATATTTATGTGATTGGCGTGTGAATCTAGTTAGGTTACTGATAAGCAACTGCCTCGAACGCGTTTTCTGCTCGACTTATATAATGTCGATATTGAGGAAGTTTTTTAATCGGAAGGAGAGCCTGGGAACAGGTTTTGTCGATCAAGAACCTAGGTGCAAACGAAGGAAATTCAAAGTCCTGCTTCGCTTGCACTTCGGGCAATTTCGGTTCCGCGTGTTAGTGTAGTCAAATTAGGTTTTTATCTCGGAACTGATTCAATCAACTCGGATCTTAATGATTTATGGCTTAAAATTTCACAA